CTATACTCTATACTCTCCAAGGTAATGAGAAGACACTGGCACGTTACATCGCTCCTGTGCCAGGTAAGTCCACTACGGGCTCACCATAGCATGTACTACTTGCCTCGCTCCTGTGCCAGGTAAGTTACGGGCTCATCATAGCCCGTGCTACTTGGAACTATCGAGTAGCTGATTCTATAACAACATGGCACGTTACAACAACTTGTAGCTGTAGTGTCTCCTCTGTAGTCATCCAGGGTTAACAATAAACATTATCTCATGTGCCTTGATGAGGCCGAAGAGTTGGATAAACATTCTTCTGTTAATTTGTACAGGTAAGGAGGCATAGTTATAGGGTATTAATGAGGGATGATATCAAGAACTCTGTTCTGCGGCACTTTATTCATTTATTATTCAACTTGTAGCCATTCTGCAAGTGGGTGGTGACAGGCTACAGACTCACATGATGGGGCTCAGTAGCTGAACCCTTATACAGTTTTCGTTTAACTAAACAAATTACAGCGTTGATGACCTAGTTACAGAGTGTAACTGTAAACCAGAGGGTGCTATATAGCCTTTCTTTTGATAATTACTTAATGACGGGGTATAAGAGTAAATGTAACGCCATCTTCAGACTAATTTGGTATACTCCTCACATACTAATATGCACATACATCCAAATTAGTACTATTATTACAGGAATCATCCATAATATATCTCTAAGCCCATACGATATGACAGTAACATGTTTGTATCGGAAGTCAGACACAAATATAACAGAATTCTTTGGGATGGATTCGAAGTGTATTTCAATTGAATTCCATCCGCATGTATAATATAACTGACAGACCAACCAGCGCAAATTCTCTGAAAGAGAGCTCTTATAAGCAGCCTGAGGACAATAATACAGAAAGAACTTCACCATGACTTAGTAGATCTCGGACAGGACTTTGCGCTCACGGCCTCTAAGTCAACAACAACCAAAGGATAACATTAATAGCAAAATATAGAGGACTTCGTTTGAAGTAGATGAAGAGAACGAATTAGGGGATATTCCCATAACGTGCGGAATAATCAAGAAGAACGTTAACATACTAAAAGATTCTAAAGATTTCTCTAAAAGGTTTATGATAAGGTACCACATGAAAGACTGGCAAGGATATTACAAGCCATGGAACAAATGGTAGACTACTAGAATGAATAAAACAATGGATAAAACCGAAAAAGAAAACGGCCATCCTAAACGGATATGAATCTGACAGACGGAATATGAGTGGGGGAGGGGGGGGGGGGGTAGAAATAGCCTACGTTACTCTATCCCTTTGAGATGTATTTTTTTTCTTGTTTCAATAAACTTACTTAAACTTGATGTGAGTGGGGCAACGCAAGGTTACATATTGAGGCCAACCCTTTCTGTTATATACATCAGTAACATAGATGATAATATTGACCTCAATATACCTGAGGGCCACTAACACTAGTGGCCCCGACGAAGACAGGAAGCCAGCGGCTTGTTAACGGTCCCTCCATTTTCCCTAATGATTTTTTCTAGTTGGATTTAAAATTTAACAGTTTTGGCAATTACGGTCTCGGCGGGTAGGCGGTTCCATGGGTTTATAACCCTATGGGTGATAAAGCATCTCCTGTCCTACATTGTGGTTTGTTAAGGTTGAAACCGTTGCTCATTGTTTGTGTTACATCTGACCTTTTGAGGAAATTGTCTGGATCAACATCCCCCCAAATTGTTCAGTATTTTAAAAATTTTAATGAGATCCGCCCTGTCAAGTTAGGTTTGTATTGTTAGTCCTGTGGCCTTCAACCGTTACTGATACGAGAGTTGATTTAGTTCTGGAATGATTTTTGTTGCCAAGTGTTGCACTTTGCAGAGCAGCTATGTCCTATACAGTAATACAGTAACCCAAATGGGGGCGAATCAGATATTTATTCAATTGAATCACAAACTTCTTTTCCTTAAAATCAAAGTTACGCGTGATTACAAACCACAAATTACATATTACATATATTGTAAACCATATCATGAAATTTACAGATGACACTAAGTAGGAAGTGAAAATTATATTGAGGCCTTACAAAGCGATATACATGAACTCCACAAATGGTTACAAGACTGACAAATGCCTTTTTAATATTGAAAAAGGCAGAACTTTGCATGTAGGGTGTAGCAATGTACATCACAACTACCGAATCAACTACATTACCTTGCAACTAATTGACGAAGAAAATGACCATGGAGTCAGAATCCATTAATCACTGAAAGTCGTACAACAGGTGGGACCTACAGTAAAAACCTGCCAACCATACTTTAGGAATAGTCAAAAAACCTATAAAAGTAGTGGGAAATGGGAAAAAGAAAGTAGTTATACAATCCTCTGGCGCGTCCCATCTTGACTACTGTATCCAAGCATGGCGACCTCACCCTCAAGAGGAGATATCTACTTTGGAGAAAATTCATCACCGAGCGACAAAAGCTAAGTCAACTCTCATTCCAGGAACGGTTGAAGGCCACAGGACTAACAACACTGCAAACTACATATGACAGTATTGATCTCATCGAAACTTTTAAAATGCTGAACAATTTGGAAAATATTGATCCAGACCATTTCTTAAAAGATCAAATATAACATACAAGGGAAAACTGCTTCAAACTGAACAAGCCACAATGTTGGACAGAAAACAGATGCTTTTTCACCCACAAACAAGGTGCATTGTTTATAACTCACAGGGTTATAAACCGATAGAACTGCCAACCAGCCGAAGCCGCAAATGCCTAAACGTTGCTGCAGTTCAAAATCCAAATCGTTAAAATCATCAGGAAAAATGGGGAATCCTTGGCAAGCCGCCGGCTTCCTGTCTTCATCGAGGCCACCAGAGAGATAGTAGCATCTCACGTAAATTAAGGTAATGACATAACTGGAGTATAATACTGTAATTTAGAAAAATGCCTTCCAAAACAAATATGAAGGAAATGCTCGGTAGTAGAGGTGGGTTCGTTCTCGATTCACAAGCGGGAATCCCGGGTTCGAATCCCAGGCGGGATAACAACAGTTGGGAACGTTTTCATTCACCTAATGGCTCAGTTCACCTACCTGTAAATAGGTACCCGGTAGTTAGCCAATTGTTGTGATGAGGATAGTAGATCAACTACTGACCTGGGGAGGGTCAGTAGTTCGACCCTGAGGGAGACCATACCAGACTAACGTATACATAGACCTGTCCTCCTGATAAAATGAATTAACAGATCCTTTCCCGCCAATAGTGTGTGTCGAGAAACTGAAATAGAGCAGTAGCTGTTCTGGCTGGTGTTGTGCCAATCACACATTAATAAAAAAAGAAAACAAATTAAAACAAAACTGCTTGATACCTCTACGGTGTGAGAGCTGCGGGTAAAAACCAAAGAATAAAAAACTTCAAACATTTAATATAACAAAAAGACTTTATTAACACAATAAGTAATACTTAAAGAAAAACAAAACCCCTTATTTCCTTGGTTTTACACAAAATTATGAAGAGAAATATAAATACAGGTGAGATTTTTACGTTAATCAAAAAGGGTGCAAATGACTATACAAAAGCGGTAGGCATCTACTGTCTCCTGGGGAGGCGAGAGTAGATGTTACTGCTGAGAGCACGAAGTGTATTCTGATGACTGAACTGATTGATTAAGATTATGGTGATTACACCTCAGCTCCCTCCCACAAGGTGAGAAGAGTATTACCTGTAATTGGGGAAAGGATTGTAGCTTCTGTAATTAGTTATGCTATTAAGATAATGAGATAATGGAGCGAGTATAAGATTAACTCGCTACAAGATTTTAAGCCAGCCAGGAGGTGGCATGGGCATAAATAACCAGTAGATGACTGGACGCCGGCGAGCCCCTTATATATGAGCCAGGACGTCAGAGATGGCGCGAATCTTGTAGGTAACCATTGGCCGGCAGTTAAACAAGCAGTTAGCGTCTAGTCGACCGGCAAGTGGCGTCTGGGCCCCTGCCCAGACAGCAGGAGTCCAGGTGTCTAGGGTACTATAAGGTGGAGGGAAGAGCGGGTCTGTCTAGACATCCAATATGTTTTGAGCACGTATTGTTGTTTAAGCATGCAGATACATCGGTGGATAGGCGGTACAGGGAACAGGCAGGATCTACTGCCTAAGCAGGAGATTACCGTAACAAGTGTAATAAATAGAATCTAGTCATCTGGGGGAAAATAAATGCTCAGGAATATTAGTGGGTCCTTGGACAAACACTCGGGGTTTCCTGTATTGGTCGAGGCCAATAGAGATGATGGATTTCAGGTAAATGTTTCATGTCAAGGGTCCCGCTAGTACAGTCGGTTCGTTCTCGATTCAATCCTGAATTTCAGTTTCGAATCCCGGTCGGGACCGATATGGTTGGGCGAGTTTCCTATCACCTACCTACCTTCTTTTGATAATTACTAACTTCCTATCACCTAATGCCCCTATCCACCTTGCAGTAAATAGGTACCCAGGAGTTGGTCAGCTTGTTTATGGGTGCATGCTGGGGAGTGTCAGTAATTCGACCCTGGGGGCGGACCTTGATATAAGCCTAACATGTACTGTATGTATAAACTGGCTGCCTGTTCTACGACACAATGAATTATGTATATTGGTTTTCGAATTTGCCGCCATTAGTTAGCAAGTGTCATCATTAATGACGTCATGTTTACTGTATGCTTTGTGGCCAATTTTACGGGTTACATAATAAGTAGAGAAAACTCTGTTTATACTGTAGAAAAATATTATAGAACTTAAATATAATTAATGACTTAAAAATATGTAGTAATATGTTGTTTATGTAAATATTAATGTAACTCTGTTTCACCTACGCTAACAAAAATCATTCATAGTTCTCAAAAACAAAAGCCCGGAAGTTGTTTACGTCACAGAAGTTCCAACAGGGAAGAAATATAGACGCCAGAAGCTGACGACCAAGAAGGGCTAGAGGAACAAAAGACAATAGCTTGTGTTGTCCTTATAGTGTCCAGGTGAGGCAGGCGGAGGATCAGTGTGTTTATACTCTCTGACCAGCTTCTCTCTTAGTTCCTTATGGAGTGTATTTGGCAGTAGAATGAGATTGTCGGTGCCAAACCTGTAATACGCTGTTTTTATCACAAGTAAGTCCAAATTTTCGCCCCATAACCCAGTAATTGGTAGTAATGTAAGTTAGTGTGTGTCGCAGCACACACAGAGTTGGACTATAAGTTGCGATGTTGATAAAGATGGACAAACTAACGGGTTCATCTGCCTGTTGACTTGAGCCTTTGACAGTGAGGTGACTTTAATTTAACATTGAGGTCCCATCCGTGTTTAGTGTCAAGATTACAGAGGAGTTAAGGCATTTTTGTGTAGCTATTCATACGTGAGGCTATTTTTAATTTGTTCTTCGAAGGTGAAATTTTGTGTTATGCATCATTTTTGAACAGTGAGTAGCGATAGGCCACACCTATAGGCCTACTGGCCAAACTCATGCTTGGTACAACTAGTGTTCACTAATGGGACAGGAAGTGAATAGTGAACACCTAATGTTCACCTAAGGCAGCGTCTGGGATAATCTCGGACGTGGGTTCGAATCCTCGTCACGGCCCTTGTGGATTTGTTCACCTAATGGGGTTTTATTGCCTCATGTTTTGGGAAAGTTCTGCGTACTAATAAATGGAGATATATCAATTTGGAAATTGATAGATCTACCATGCAGATCTCTTCCATGCTGGCCACCCAAACCTTATTGACTTGCCCTTGTCATTCCTGTTTTACCTTGTTGAATTAACTAGGTAAGAACCTTGGGAAAAGTTTTATTTAATTTGGCATACTCCAAACTAACTGTGCTTACTAAATAGGTTGAAGCAATATTGCCTCTGCAACAAGTTATTGGCTCTTTTATTTAAGACTAGTGAGTGAAGAGCGAGGCATACAAGTTTTAAAATGCATTAGGGTCATAAGCGGAGCTGGGATACTGCTGGAACAGGCCACACCTGGCAAAAATGAATAAGAGCTGAATAAGTTTCATTTGGGAGAGAGGGAAGGAAGTAATTTTGAAATTGGACTTTTGGACGAGTGGAATAGACTGCTGACTAGCATTGATTGTTTAATGTTTTATGGTAAGGTATATGGGGTAAGAGGGGTTGATTTAAATGGGACTAGCTTAGTATGGCCCAGCATACCTGCTGCACTACTACCCCATTTCATATGTTCTTACAATTTGTTGTTACTGATGGTGATCTTTAGTAGTGTGTTGCCCACTTTGCTAAGTGCTTTCTTGGAATCAATGGTGTATTTTTAATGAAACCTAAACTAAAAATTGTTAGTATTATGGATTCTTGCTCATGGGGTATTATGTTTAGTTGATTAAATTAGAATGGCATGACTGGCATTGCATTAGCAGTGTGGGGATACTTTTTATCCATCTAGAATGTAGCATTCATTAATTCTGGATCCACATAGTGCCACACCCTTCATGCCTATATGCAACATTTCAATAGTTCTTGGGGATTATTATTGAGATTCTCAAATTAGTCCCAAAATAAAGCAGATTTTCCAGGATTGTTTCTTTTATCATTTCTGTATTATGTAATTGTGCTTGTAGTGGTTAAGATTCTGCTCTTTGGGCCTATGTGGTTTTGAAGTAAAATGCTTGCATGCCTCCAAGCATCTAGCAGATCTTGGCACGAGTTATTGCCCTTTTCTTCACTTGTAGCTGTACCTACTGTATTTTGGCAGATGTCAAGCTTATTCCAAGAATTTTATTTAATGTTCTTATATCATTTGAAGCTTAATCTCATTTTGTATATATTGCTGATGAGCTGTGTTTCCAAATTGTCCTGGATTTTGTCACATATCCTCTCTGCCATTCTCGTTAGTGGGACCAATTACCAGTCTGACCCAGTAAGATGAGCTTTTTTATTCAACATTTTAAATGCATTTATGGTGTTGATGGGTTGGATTACAGTTGTGTATGGTGGTAAAGCCACACATTATATTGCCAACAATTGATTTTAAATTGTAAATGTTTGTGTAGAGGGAATTTTTCAATAGCATAATGTTATGTGCCTTCTTATTACCCTGACTTCCTTGCAAGACTTATTACTAATCCTGTTAAGTCTAAACTAAGCATTTTGTAAGTAATAGTGGGCTGGTGAGAGGTAGTTCAGTTTAATGCTCTTGGTTTGGCATCCTTGAAACAGTTGCAGCCACGTCTATGGGAGTTGTGTGTACAGTATTTGTATGTACCAAAGGTGAAATACTTTTTCACTGGCAGTTTCCTTTCTCCTACTTGCCAAACTCATGCTTGGTACAACTAGTGTTAAGCCAATCTTACATTCATTGTTAATTTGGGACAAGTAGAACCTGTACTAAATATATTAATTTCCTTTTAAATAATCTCTAACTGCATTTGAAACTTAGACTAATATCCTCTTAGCACTAATGGCATATTTTTTAATCTAAAAACCCAGCCATCTCTAGCCTTTAACTTTGATATATTGTATTCAAATTGCATGCAAGTGTATGTGCTGTTAAATTACTGAATCCATCAACCACAATACCCACAATGCTGCACTGTAGCTATGCACTGGATCTGTTTGGTTCCTACCATAGTTTGTAACAGTGTTGCAAGCATTTGTAAAGACACACACCAAGGGAAATGGCCTGACACTCTTCCAGGGACAGGTAACTAGCAAAGTTACCCCAGTCAGTGAGGGAACCTACCTTGAGGTTACCTTGAGGTGCTTTCGAGGCTTAGCGTCCCCGCGGCCCGGTCGGAGTGCTGTGCATGCATCTTTGTCACCATGAGATCTGTACTGTACGTGTTTTTGGATTTGTTCTTCCTGTTGATCATCCACATTCAATGCATTGTTATATGCCCTACATGTACGGTATTGCATTTTTCATTATTGAAAAGTATTTGCCAGTATTCTAATTGTGGAGTTAATGTAGGTCATTTTGCAGGGCTGCTATCATTTATTGCTTTCCAATTGAGTGAAATCTACAATAGTAATTCCATCTATCATACTACTATCATGCAAGAAGAGCCACACACACAAAATGAGTCATCCAATGAAATTGGTAGACTCCTAGAAGTTACTACTGCTCGGCTTACTTGGCCATAAGTATCTCTGGGAATTTTTGTTACCTGCTGGTGTAGACCTGACCAAATGTAAACTGTCAATTATTCACACCCTCCGTCACTGTGATGGAGTGCAAAAATATGTGAGAATTTATAGACGGCTCTATAACAAATGTTCAAGCAATGTGTAAATATTTCATCAAAATGATCTACCAGAAATTTTAGCCAAATATCCCCAGTGTGCTAACTGTAAGTAGTAAATGTGGGTGATCGTAACCTATCCACCACTGCCCACTGGTTGTGGGACGGTGTGCAGAATAAACATGTGAATTGTGACACTAGCTCATCACGTATGCAAGTTGCTTAACTTAGTGACTATACTTGTAGTTAGTCTCAAACCTGTTGGTGTAATAATATACTGCACATTAAATTCTCTAACAAGCTTGTGAAGACTGCAACTCACTTTGCTAAATGAATTTTGAGGTTCAGTCCCTGAGCCCATTATATTTTGTAACCCCTTCCATCCACTACAGCCCACAGGATGGGTTTGGGAGTGCATAATAAATGTACTAAACTAATCTTGCTATAAATTTTTATCTGCAAATTTTGTGATATTTAAGATTTTCTAATGCCAATTATATCTACCTAGTACAGTATTACAAATGGGGTTGCACCCCCTCCCCCCAAAGATAAAACCTTTGCGGTACACAACTAGCAACATTTTTCCAGTTGGATTCATTTTCATTTGGAATGACCCTTTGCCTTCTTTTAACCATAGTTTTATTCCTTTTAGTATTTTGCTGTTTATTCCACCTGCTGTTCGTTTATTACTTTCATGTAGTACCTCTAAAGCTTTATAAGGATTCTATGCACATTACATCTACTGGAAGTTCTTTATCAGTACATGGAGGTGACATCTACTACCAGTTTGCTCGCAAGAGTAATTCCTTACGTCACTCATTGGTTTAAATGTTAAAGTATGGCACACCCCTTATTCATTGACCTCCATATAGATGTAATGTCAGGCTCATTTTTTTGTAGCATTTTTTATTGTATCACCTCAAGTCCCTGGTCTCTTCTGGGTTATTGTCAGATTGAGATTCTTGGTACTGTATTCCTGATTGAGAAGCTCAAATTTGCAGCTTAATATTCTTTGCTCATTTATTACATTTGAGATTTTCTGCTGTCTGCAATTTCTTATTCTGCAATATGTCTATTGTTTATGCATGCTATTTTCTTTGCTTTAGCTAAGATGGGTTTCATAATATACACAGGTATTTTGTGTATTGTTTGTTATTCAAACATTATGTTAAATGGCTATGAAGAGGAAGTTCTTGTGGTGTGTGTCACTGTATACAAATGCATTATGTAATTAAAAGGGCCAAGTTGTACAGTTCAGGTTAGGGTATGTATAAGTAATTTGATCCTGTGAGCAGTCTGGGTGTGGGATCAAGGAATCTATTGTATAATCTAATCATGAAGACTTTGCCCCCACAGATATCAAGATATGATAATATTTGCTGTAAGAAAACTTAAATGTAGGCACAAAATTATACTAAAAAGTATAGTAAATCTTTGTGTAAAAAAAAAAAAAAAAAAATCAGTTTGAAGGATTCTGCAAATGATATCCATTTGTACAAGTACTCACCTAGTTGTGTTTGCGGGGGTTGAGCTCTGGCTCTTTGGTCCCGCCTCTCAACCGGCAATCAACAGGTGTACAGATTCCCGAGCCTATCGGGCTCTATCATATCTACACTTGAAATTGTGTATGGAGTCAGCCTCCACCACATCACTTCCTAATGCATTCCATTTGTCAACCACTCTGATACTATATAGGGGCCTCGTAGCCTGGTGGATAGCGCGCAGGACTCGTATTTCTGTGGCGCGGGTTCGATTCCCGCACGAGGCAGAAACAAATGGGCAAAGTTTCTTTCCTGAATGCCCCTGTTACCTAGCAGTAAATAGGTACCTGGGTGTTAGTCGGCTATCACGGGCTGCTTCCTGGGGGTGGAGGCCTGGTCGAGGACCGGGCCGCGGGGACACTAAAGCCCCGAAATCATCTCAAGATAACCTCAAGATAACCTCAAGATACTAAAAAAGTTCTTTCTAATATCTCTGTGGCTCATTTGGGCACTCGGTTTCCACCTGTGTCCCCTTGTGCGTGTTCCCCTCGTGTTAAATAGACTGTCTTTATCTACCCTATCAATTCCCTTCAGAATCTTGAATGTGGTGATCATGTCCCCCCTAACTCTTCTGTCTTCCAGCGAAGTGAGGTTTAATTCCCGTAGTCTCTCCTCGTAGCTCATACCTCTCAGCTCAGGTACTAGTCTGGTGGCAAACCTTTGAACCTTTTCCAGTTTAGTCTTATCCTTGACTAGATATGGACTCCATGCTGGGGCTGCATACTCCAGGATTGGCCTGACGTATGTGGTATTCAAAGTTCTGAATGATTCTTTACACAAGTTTCTGAATGCCGTTCGTATGTTGGCCAGCCTGGCATATGCCGCTGATGTTATCAGCTTGATATGTGCTGCAGGAGACAGGTCTGGTGTGATATCAACCCCCAAGTCTTTTTCCTTCTCTGTCTCCTGAAGAATTTCCTCTCCCAGATGATACCTTGTATCTGGCCTCCTGCTCCCTACACCTATCTTCATTACATTACATTTGGTTGGGTTAAACTCTTAACAACCATTTGTTTGACCATTCCTTCAGCTTGTCTAGGTCTTCTTGAAGCCTCAAACAGTCCTCTTCTGTTTTAATCCTTCTCATAATTTTAGCATCGTCCGCAAACATTGAGAGAAATGAATCGATACCCTCCGGGAGATCATTTACATATATCAGAAACAAGATAGGACCGAGTATAGAGCCCTGTGGGACTCCACTGGTGTTTCCTTATATTTGCAATATGTTATAGTACTGTACAATACTTAATTATACAGTACTGTAAAAGGGAATAAGTCAAGAATTTAGTTTCTTCATTAAATGCCTCAAATTGTTGCAAAAGTTCTAACAAAAAAGGTTCTCCCACATTTTGTACTTAAAATTATTTCTTGCCTGCACTAAAGGCCATCCGAACAGAAATGTTTATTCGCATCCTTTACCCCTATAACTATTCCACTACGATAAATGATCAGCCCGGTGCACATACACGTTGTTGCCTCATTCTGATGATCCCTTTATAAACAACCAGGTGCTAAACCTAATAAATCTTGGAGTGCCATTTTGATAAAATTTCACATGACAGTACCTTCTCGGCAAATTTATCTCCATACGTACCTCTAGTATTATTTGTGTAATTACCTAAGTGTAATTACCTAAGTGTAGTTACAGGATGAGAGCTACGCTCGTGGTGTCCCATCTTCCCAGCACTGTCATATAACGCTTTGAAACTACTGACGATCTTGGCCTCCACCACCTTCTCCCCTAACTTGTTCCAACCGTCTACCACTGTTTGCGAAAGTGAATTTTCTTATATTTCTTCGGCATCTGTGTTTAGCTAGTTTATATCCATGACCTCTTGTTCTTAACGTTCCAGGTCTCAAGAAATCTTCCCTATCGATTTTATCAATTCCTGTTACTATTTTGTATGTAGTGATCATATCACCTCTTTTTCTTCTGTCTTCTAGTTTTGGCATATTTAATGCCTCTAACCTCTCCTCGTAGCTCTTGCCCTTCAGTTCTGGGAGCCACTTAGTAGCATGTCTTTGCACCTTTTCCAGTTTGTTGATGTGCTTCTTAAGATATGGGCACCACACAACTGCTGCATATTCTAGCTTTGGCCTAACAAAAGTCGTGAACAATTTCTTTAGTATATCGCCATCCATGTATTTAAAAGCTTTGTGTGTGTGTGTGTGTGTTCATTGCTATGGCAATCAATTTTGATTTGCCTGTAGCTAAGCAATGAATCTCAAAGTACAGATTTGAGTGGCTAAATGGTACATTTTGCAGTGTCGGCAATATGTATAATAACTTGATACTTCCTTCCATTAACCTCAAACCTCTGAACCTCTTCTCCCTTCTTGTCTGCCTTATCTTGACCTACTTGTTTTTAGCTTTCTATTAACATTTATTCCCAATAAATAAATCTAATTTGCTAATACATAATTTTAATTGGATAAATGCAGAACCAAGTATTTTACAATATGGCAATATACCAAGTGTTGAACAAATACAGTATTCATTTTGTTTGCATTCACTTTCACTTATTTGCATTTTTTCCTTGCACACTTGTCATTTATCTTAATTCCAGTTGTGTAGCCATGTATACACAGATAATGCAATTGTGACTAGGATGAAAATGAGACATTAAAAATAGTTTTTCATGCAGTAGTAAGTTTGCCACATGATTATTATAATTTTTCTAGAAACTGCTGCTTGAAAAAAAGTCCTCGAGTAATTTGATAAGATCAAGAAAATGTGACAACTCTTACAATAAGCATAATTCCTTTGTATATAGTTTATTGAATTGAGTTAATATATTTTGTCAGATTGTTATAGATTTATATTTCATTCAAATTTTTAAATTTATATTCAAACTTTAGTCTTTTATAATCCTTGATTTTTGTTGGGCAGAGAAGTGGAAATCATCTTTTAAATTTTTTTTTTTTTTTTTTTTTTTTTTTTTTTTTTTTGCTGAGTACAGATTAAAACTTGGTAAGTGATAGTGTTGATTTAATATATATATTTAATATATATATATATATATATACAGTATGCTATATGGAAATATTTTTCTTGCAGATCGCTTGTTCCCCATAATGTTCCTTTGGGATTGGATCACTGGTGTTCTGGGATATCTTGGTAAGGCCTGTTGGTGTATAATCACCTCTCACTGTTTACATTACTGTATTATGAATCTCGTGGTCTTCATATTTTCACTTAAAAAAAAAAATCACGTGCATCATCATTTGTTATTGGGCAATTTAGCATTGTAAATGCATGGCCATGTCTGTGGTAGAAAATAATTAGAAAAAAATTCCCTTAAAACCAGGGAAGGACATGTCCTTGAAACCTCTAAAATGAACAAACATATCTGCTCCAAAATATTGACCTATATTCCCAGAGTCCAGGGGATAAGTACAGTACAGTAGTCCTGGTAAAAGATACAAAATTTACTATATTTGTATTTTGAAGTTTTAACAGGATTAATCAGTTTATATTTGGAATGTCTTAGATCTATACTATATACTTTATAAATTGTGTGAATTGTGTTAATAGGACTTATGAATACTGGGTATCGGGATTTTTTAATTTGATGGTGTATTTGCCGAGAAATGCAAAAAATGATCGGTTCCTTCTAGATCTATTTAATATTTTTACAACATTCGAAGAGACTACAAGGGGGTCTTCTATACAGTTCAACCCACAAACCTGTTAAGTGTAATGCTTGTTTGAATTAAGATGTCAAAAATTGTATTTGATTCTGTTCTACACATTAACCTAACACCGAAAATGTGCAGCAATCTAAAAGTAAAACAAAGGTGCACTTGATTCAAGATAGTTAACAATTGGTAAGAAAAATAGCTTAAGGCAATAAGATTGCAGGTTGAAGTCGTAGATAATTTTGAGCACTGGAAAAAATTGCAGGTACAGTTTATTGAAGCAGTGCATGGGTTAAACATTGCTATAATAATTGTAACAAGAAGTGCTTTGTTTTCAAAGTGCATGTTTTAAAACACGTCACTAATTATAATTTTTTTCAAGCAAGTGTTTTTGCCACTGAATGATTAAATTTAGTTTTGTGGTACATTTCATTACTGTATTTAGTTAATAAGGGGGAAAATATTGAGTAATTAAAAACTCTCTATCTTGTTTTGAGGGCTGATGACTCCCAAACTCAGGTGTGCATTTTTAGGCCTAGAAAAGTCTGGAAAGACAGCTTTGTTGACCCACCTGAAAGAGGAGGGTTGGATTTCACCCGTTCCATTTAGGTCATGTAAGTGTTGGTCTGGTTGGCAGAGTTATTGCAATGTTTGATCTTTGTTAGCAGGTTAACATTTCTTTGTTGTACTTTATTGTACTTTTGTTGCATGGTAAATTATTCCTTGTGTATACCACAAAAATTTCCTATACTGTACAGTGAATTGCTGGTCAAATGGATTGATTGGTTCTGGTGCATTAGATTTTCCATGGAATAAAATTGTCAAGATTTTGCAAATTACTGTTTTAATTGGTGCAAATTATGGAATGTTTTTTTGATACTTGACAATCATACAGTTTAAAATTTAATGATAACTTTGTATTTTATTGGCACCATATACAGTATCTAGAAAAGTGTGAATGTCTTATGTTGGAACACATAATGTTGCATTGAACAATAACCAGATCAAAATCCTTCATTGATCAGATTTTTATGGTGGATCAAGTCTAAAGTCACACTAAAGTGGAAATTAACTGTTTTGAAAGTTTGTAACATGTTCCCAGAATGTTACTCATAGACTTTTAGAATGTTATGATGCCTGTGCTATTCTTTTGTACTAATACAAGGCTTAGAAATTTGGTAAAGTAAAAGTGTGTTACAATTAACAGCAAATCAGACCTGCCAGCCAGTAATTTAATCAATCTGAAGTTGTTCTTCAAAAGGTACCAAAGAGTTAGAAACCTCGTCACCGAGGGCAAATGTAAAGAACGTAATGACGTACTGTACTTGCAGATCTCTGAAGGTGCACACACGAGTATTGGTACAGGGTATCACTAATGTGTTTGAGACTTTAGTGGATATAATTCCATCGCTAAGATCTAAAGGACATTATAAACTTACAGCAGTATATATGAAGCTCTCAAACATTTGAATGGGATTTAATAACTTTCAAGATGCACTACACAGCTTATGTAAGGCTGTGTAGTGCTAGATGATGATGCTCTAGCATGGAATGCACATCTCTTGATGCATAGACCTAAGGTTGAACAAGTGCAGAGATTTTTTAACACAATTCAGGCACTAACTAGTAAGGATGATTAAGCCAAGAGGACAACTTGAGGGAAGGGAAGCTTCTTAAAACCTGATGTATCACATTCTGGTTCAACAGGTATCTTTTGGAGGCATTTGTTGCCTTGAATGTCGAGAGGCCGGCCAGTGATGCCCTTTGTTTAGAGGGAGCGTGTTGAAAAGTCTTTGAGCTTTGATGTTGACAGTTCTCTCGGCATACTTACTGCACCTTTACTTTTCAGAGACTATTTTGTATTTCTTGCCATGCCTTCTGGTCTCGTAATTAATTACCTAAGTGTAATTACCTAAGTGTAGTTACAGGATGAGAGCTACGCTCGTAGTGTCCCGTCTTCCCAACCTGTGATGGAATACACTTCCCAACGTGTGATGTTTTCTGTGCAGATTTGCAATCAGTCACTCTAATATTTTTGGAGTGCAAATTATGCATTTCTCTCACCTGTGTTCTATGGAATTCAGATTTTAAAATTTCACGTAGTCCCAATAATTTGGATGTTTTATAGAGTGGGTTTTAGCCATAAAAGATCTTTGCACATTCTCCAGGTCAGCAATTTCTCCAGCTTTTGAATGGGGCTATTAAACTAAATTAGTAAAACATTTTTGGTGTACTGTAGTGGGTTTTGAAGCACATTGGACATTCTTACACATAAAATTCACAAGTTCAAATATTTGTATGATTTTAACTTTGGCTGGCAGGTCTCTGGAAGAAGAGTGGGAAGCTTCTGTTTCTGGGTTTAGACAATGCAGGAAAGACAACGTTGCTTCACATGCTGAAAGATGATCGCATGGCCCAGCATGTACCCACACTCCATCCAAGTATGTACATGTGCTACAAATAAGTTTTAAGTTTTATCCTGTAAACTTAGTCATATAGTTGTGTGTATTTCAGTAATTTTTCTTTTAGGTTATATTTCAAATTGTATTAACCCAAAGCTTATGATTACTATTCAGTAGCTATTCGAGAAAAGTTCAGGAAGAAGGAACTTGTGTTGATTGTTGCTTATACCCTTGCATCAATGTATGAATTTAAATTGGATAAATACCATCATTGCAGTGATAATGATATCAATCATATGGTTTAATAACTTATTCAAGATGTCTGAAATAAAGTATTTTATTGTTTCACTAACAACATTACTCTTTCAGCATCGGAGGAACTGAGCATAGGACAAATAAAATTTACCACATTTGACCTGGGTGGCCATCACCAAGCAAGGAGAGTGTGGAAGGACTATTTCCCTGCAGTAGATGCCATTGTCTTCCTTATAGATGCAGCAGACAGAGGCAGATTTGCAGAATCTAAGGTTTGTAGAAGTCTTGTGGTGTTCTTTTACAAGTTTTGGCTGCAGTTACATTGATGCATCAAAATTTAAATGTGCACGAAGATGCAAATGCGATATGCATGAAATATGCTTAGTTTTATAGCAAGTGGTTAACATGTACACTCCCCCATAGGCTGAATTGGATTCACTTTTGACGGATGACCAGCTTTCGAATGTTCCTATTGTTATCCTGGGCAACAAGATTGATGTAGCTGGTGCTGCTTCAGAGGATGAGCTCAGGCACTACTTCGGTCTCTTTGGTCAAACGACAGGAAAGGCAAGTCTTTAATGAAGATGATTGTGTATTGTTATATATCTGATGTTCATACCATGTAGTTCAAAAAGTTTGTGGATGGTATTTTAGATGTGGTTGTGCCCTCAGTGCTAAATTGGAAATCAAATTGTTTAACAATTCGTATAAAAAAAAAAAAAATTCTTGAAAGGCAAACTCCCCAAAATTGCATATCATTATCCATCACAATAAAAAAACTTTCATCACCTCACCAAAGATCACCTTCATTTCACCTTTCCACTGCACCACACAGCTGGGGATGCTGTCACTAATTATCCGTAAACATCACAACAGTTGGGAAAGTTCTGAAGTACCGTGTAGGATTTAAAACTCGCATGGGTTCATATTGCTCGCACCTCTGCTAAACTGATGCCACCTCTTCTGGGTGTGAGGGCCTCATTATTTGAAGTGGTGACCACGACAGCCCATACAGCAGTAGCTCATGGCCACTGCATCACTTTATAATGATGAAATAAATAACAGATTATTCAGTGATAGGATGACTAAACCACACGTCAGAAAATGAAGACTTGAGGACCACAAAAGAAGTGTTTCGTGTGCAGACACAAGCAATGCTGTCTTGTCATGTTAGGGACTCTTAAATCATCCAATGGTTTGGGCTTGTAAAATAATCTTTCCTGCCTCAACTCTTCACAGATGCTGTCTTGTTGAACCAGCTCTGATAGACATGGACTGTAGTCCTGGCTCTATTGTTGACTCTTCCTTTAACTTAACATGCTTAAATCCACTAATCCTCTTAACAAACATGATCCGACTTAAATTTTGCCCTTTCTATGCTACATAACCTTCCTGGCTTGGTGCTTTCTTTGATAATTACTTACATTGACCTTTCTAGCCTCTTTCCTTTGTCCTATGTTACTACGTTTCTTCAACATTGGGCCTCTTGCTGTTTTTCTTTATTTTCTTCCTGTTTTACTAACTTTTTCTTGTACATTTTCCTTTCTATCTTCTTACATTTTTTACCCTTTTCTCTTGTTCTACATTGTCCTAAACTTGCATCTGCCTTTTTTGCCTCATTTGTCTTCCACACTATTACCCGACTTGATGCCGGTCCAGGACGGACTGGTACATTATTTCTTCATTTTCTGATGTGTGGTTTGGCCACCGTATCTTCAGTCACATTGTGCCTCATTGTCTGCATTCAATGATAGTGTCATAGATCTTGACTAATAAAAACTTGTACAAGGTTCAGATATCGGTGAACTCGATACTGTACTGGTTACAATGTTCACAGCACGATGCAGACGTCCACAGCACACAGCCACTGTTTGGAGTGTGTGCGCATAATGAAACAGGACATAGTGTTCCTTTAGGAAAATAAACTTCTGGAACATTATTAGTATTCAGGATTTAGTGAAGAATGTTTTGATAATGATAGTGTTGTGGCTAAAGTTAGCAATGTGTAGTATTTTGGGAGATGGTTTTGCTGTTGGCAACTGACTAGTGTGTGGTGCTGTGCTCTACTTGGACTGAGATGTAATGCAAGTTGCATTATATAAAGTGCGCTAGTGCACTTGTCTGTCGGCCCTTCTCCGTTATACCTGTTACTACAGTATTATATTTTCCCAGGTTCTGGAATTTTAATGCCAAGCATATGCTACTGTGGACAATACATAATCAATTTTATGCATATTTTGGTAGGAAGTAGCCAGGAATTTTTTTGTGACTCTTGAGAATACTGTGCATACATTTCAAAGTGCAGAACAATATTGTACTTGTATGCTAAATAGTTGAAAGGGTTAGTATAGGAAAGCATGAAATTTTGCAAGCGTTTTAAATGTACTAGTTTTAAAAATTAATGATTTAGATGTTTATCTAGGGTTTTTATATATATTGTTCTAGAACCCTGTCTGGTAACATTAACTTTATTGACTATAATTTTATGGGACATTAAAAATATTAATTTTCATTCCAGAACAAAATTCCACGTAATGAACTTCCTGGTCGCCCACTTGAGCTTTTTATGTGCTCGGTTCTGAAGCGGCAAGGATATGGTGAAGGTTTTCGCTGGATTGCAAATTACATTGATTAGATTGGTGGAAGTGGCCTGGACCATGGTATGGTGGTAGTGATATTGAACACGTTATGCTAATTCATATCACCAATCAGCACTTGGTGATTTGGGAGACATAAGACCTATGGTAAACTGAAACAAGTGCTGCCATAACTGCGGTGTGCGGCATGTTCTTTTATGAAACTCGGACACCAAGTTATATCTATGCTCCGTTATGTGATGGAATCTTAAATGTAATGCTGGATTGTAGCTGGTCAGTGGAGAATCGATTTTTGTATGTGTAGCTTACCGGCCCAGACTCCCTACCTAACTGCCATTCTGACCTTTACATGATCCATTCCCATGTTTTGTAGGTTTGACTTATTATTTTAGCTTCGAAACGTTATATTAACAATTTTTGTAATAGAATTTGTGATGTCTTGAAATATTAAGGCTGAATTTCATAATTCTAGCAAATTGTCATTAGAGCAGAAATTTATGGGTTGTAAGTTATAATTTTATAGGTAATGCAATGTAGCTCAGTGATAAAATTTAAATAAGCCGTTTTTATATAATTGGTGGTCCAGATATTTGGTAGTAAATCTGCAAAATGTAATTTATAAAATTCTGGCCATTTATTTGTATCCTTCCTCGGAGGAGTGTTGGCCACATGCGTCTCTTCCATTGTGGTGCAAGTGATTATATTTTTGTGGCAGAGCTGTCCTTGGATGCATGGATGACCACTTGGAAGACCTGTCAGATGAATGAAGCATCAATACTGTTATGAAATTATTTATAACCTCAGTTGTAGTGTTAAGTTAGAGCTTCATGTGCTGCTTCTCTTAGGTATGAAGCTTGAAAGCATTGCGCGCTCCTCAGTTAGTGATGGAAAATGTAATTTTCAGGTTTCTGTTAAGTAATCTTTATATAATAAAATGTTAAATTCCTTAGTTTATTTTTTCTTACACAGTAGTCCTCAAATGGAATTTAAATGTTGGCTCGTTTGCATGTACAAAATGTCTTTGGCTGTGTCTAATACCAACTAGCATTACCTTCTGTTGCTGCTGCAAATCATCACTATTAACAGTATTCTATATTAGCATTTCAAGATGGTTGACCACTGGTAATTAGTATGGTAGCAACTATTTACAGGTGAAGAGTAATTGCACATGTAAAATAAAATTAGTGCTCGATATAATATGGGATGTACAGTATTATGAAGTGAAAATTGCATTTAAAAACATTTTATCTTCTGCAGGCTGGATGGTAGAGCGACGGTCTTGCTTCATGCAGGTCGGTGTTCAATTCCTGACCGTCAAAGTGGTTGGGCACCATTCTTTTCCCTGTTCCATCCTAAATCATTATCCTGACCCCTTCCCAGTGGCATGTAGTTGTAATGGTTTGGCACTTTCCCCTGATAATTCCCTTCCTGCAGATTAATTCTATTGTGACCCTTGTGGGGGGAGGTCATTGTTGCCAATTACCTTGAGAAATTCATCAGGGATATTCCTGCTTATAGAATCAACAAATATTGTTTAATGCTTATAGCATTGCAGAATATTGTGTAAACAAACATTGAAAGATGTGGCAAAAGGCATTGTAATTTGGCTGTGACTTTCTAATTTTCAAAATGAAAATGTACTCACACAGGGACATTCATCCAGCAACAATGCAACTATACCACTCACCATCACCTTTAATTTGCAACCTGCATATACCCTTGATAGTTCTGAAAAGGGACTGCTGGCCGTTTTTAAAGGGCTCATGGTGTTGCTTATAATTAGAACTGTGTGGAGGCACAGTTGCCTCCACACACGACAGAGTTCCACATAAGAGGTTCTTCTGGAAACTGGAAAATATTGGAGGGGTGACAGGTAAGCTTCTATCATGGATGAAAAATTTTCTGACTGATAGAAAAATGAGGGCAGTAATCAGAGGCAATGTATCGGAATGGAGAAATGTCACAAGTGGAGTACCACAGGGTTCAGTTCTTGCACCAGTGATGTTTGCACCAGTTGGTATACAGAATTATATGAACATGTTTGCTGATGATGCTAAGATAATAGGAAGGATAAGAAATTTAGATGATTGTCATGCCCTTCAAGAAGACCTGGACAAAATAAGTATATGGAGCACCACCTGGCAAATGGAATTTAATGTTAATAAATGTCATGTTATGGAATGTGGAATAGGAGAACATAGACCCCATACAACCTATATATTATGTGAGAAATCTTTAAAGAATTCTGATAAAGAAAGATCTAGGGGTGGTTCTAGATAGAAAACTATCACCTGAGGACCACATAAAGAATATTGTGCAAGGAGCCTATGCGATGCTTTCTAACTTCAGAATTGCATTTAAATACATGGATGGCGATATACTAAAGAAATTGTTCATGACTTTTGTTAGGCCAAAGCTAGAATATGCAGTTGTTGTGTGGTGCCCATATCTTAAGAAGCACATCAACAAACTGGAAAAGGTGCAAAGACATGCTACGAAGTGGCTCCCAGAACTCGAGGGCAAGAGCTACGAGGAGAGGTTGGAAGCATTAAACATGCCAAAACTAGAAGACAGAAGAAAGAGGTGATATGATCACTACGTACAAAATAGTAACAGGAATTGATAAAATCGACAGGGAAGATTTCCTGAGACCTGGCACTTCAAGAACAAGAGGTCATAGATTTAAACTAGCTAAACACAGATGCCGAAGAAATATAAGAATTCACCTTCGCAAATAGAGTGGTAGACGGTTGGAACAAGTTAAGTGAGAAGGTGGTGGAGGCCAAGACCGTCGGTAGTTTCAAAGCGTTATATGACAAAGAGTGCTGGGAAGACGGGACACCACGAGCGTAGCTCTCATCCTGTAACTACACTTAGGTAATTACACCAGACCAGTCTCATTAACAGCATATATTTAAAACAAATAATTTAAATTTTTTTTTAAGGCTTCTGCAGTCGGTCACTGGAGTAGTTTTGGATGCCAATGGTTTGGCAATTTGCTGCAAACTGTTTCTACATGTAATGTTTGTCAATGTGTTGTGTTCATTAACACTGCCACCTGAAACTGATGTGTTGCTGCTGGTTGTCTGGGAAGATGGTTTCACCTCACTATGCCAAAACAGCCCCTCTTGCCCCTCTCAGCATACCACTGTTTTTTTTTTTTGTACATTGACACGGGTTAAGTCATGTACAGCATATTTTCTTATCCAGTACTGTACGGAAAGAATATGAACAAGTCTACCACCTCGTTCATACTTCACTGCTGTTCTTGATTCGTGAGTAAATTGTTAGCCATCAGTTTATCATAAAATTAATGCCATTTAGATTAATTAAGTAATTTTTGCAAATTAAATGCTGGGCATAAAATTTGTGGTAGAGTATGCTTATTGGTTCAACAGTGACAGTAGTTGTATGGTATTGGCATTGTACATAGGTTACTATTTAAGGTTCATTTCATTCAATGTGATCAGTTCATGACACTTTTAAAGCATTTCAACTTGCCCTGTAGGAGTTGCTTCAATTTTTCTTGGGTTTTTGGTAGCATGCCTGATTTTATTTCATGGTATACTTCCTTAGCCAGGAAGCTGCAGAGGCCACAGAGTACCTGGACCAAGTACCTGACCTAAACATTTTTATGCCCATAGGGCTGTAAAATGCTCTGTACAGCATTCACACACACACACAAAGCTTGATTGTAGCAATTGTGTTAACAGCACTAATAGTGTTTTTTAATACTGGCTATGTTCAGTGTCATTTTTTTAGTGTGTAACCATTGTCAGGAGACCAAATCAGTTGGGCCTTATTGAACCTCCTGTTATACCCCCATTTCCTTACCAAAGTGTTGAGGCTGCTGGGCAGGCTCAATAACCACATGAGGTAACTATACAACTACCAGGTCTCCATGCATGGAAAAATGCACAAGTGGCAAAACCTAAATGCAGTAATTTGTTATAGGAGGAAGGGGAGGGCAGCAGACACCACCCACACCTGATAGAGGGTGGCAAATGAGCCCCTCAACACGTCAAGGCAACACCCTTGAGGGTGAATCGGAATTACCAGGGGGGGCCAGCTCAGTATTGCATTATCTTAAATGCTCTATTTCTATTTTTTTGTGTAACCACAGTAGCTTACCATCCCCATTTTTAACCCTTCCCAGTGGGGCTCAGGGCAACAAGTACGGGAACAGGTGGAATCCTAGTGACATAAGCTGCCATCTGGTGGTACACTGGGTTACTAGTACTTTGCTGACAAACTCCTCCTTTCTCTTTCTTATAAAAGTAGATAGTAGCAATTTAATATTTTATTTAAATAAATTCACGCTTGTTACAATAGACTTGGGCTAAATATAGAATAATATTTTAATGGTAAAAATGTGACTATGGATTATTTAATGTTTAATATGAATATCATAAACATCAATTATCAGTCGGCCATTTACAATGTAACTTACCATCCATTTCAATTACATCAAGACCATTCTGGTACATGCTTCCTTAAACTTTAACTTTTGCAAGGGAACGGTTCACTTCCTCCAATTTGTGGATTTGGCGGATGAAGAAATCTCCATACCTCTGGGCAACCTTGGTGTCTGCGATGTGGATCATATTTCCATCAATGAAGAAATCAACCTGTTGAAATTTTCACATTCAGTAATGAAGATACAATGTTCTCTGGCAAAACCATAATTAATGCATGCAATTTGAATGAAGGAATAAATTGTAAATATCCAAATTTTGGCAACTGATGATGGGCAGATTTTGGGGCATCATATAATGCCGAGATAATGTACAATACTTTTAATTTTAACAAATCTGTGATTAAAACTGCATAAAATTAAAAGGGAAAAATTAAGCATTCAAATGGAGTACTGTATAGTAGTTCCTTATTCAGTTACATTGCACGTTTTCTTGTGGTTAACCAGTATATTACAAAATGACACGCACACAAGCGTTTGCCGTGGAGTGAACCCAAAAAAACGTTTTCGCAAACTTGATTTCTTAACACTTTCGCTCGGGGATGACGCATCATTGCGTCATCCGTTTACTGGCGGTAATGCCGGGGATGACGCAGCATTGCGTCATCCACTTTAAAAATTCGCCAAAAATCAGGTTCTTATCCGATTTTTTTGGGACTGGTTTTAAAATGCGCGCCGATGTCTTCCCATTTTCTTTGTTGCGCCTAGTGGCCCGCAGGCAGTGCGGCACACGCCGTCGGCCCATTGTTTTCGCTCCACTGTTGTGACCAGGGTCGCCTCCCCTCGCGTCTCAAACGTGTGAACATTTCGGCTATTTTCCGTGGCTATATTTCTTACTGCGGCTTCAGAAACTATCTACGCTTACTCCACGATGGATAGTGATCATGAACAAGGCCCTTCCAGGAAGAAAATTGCGAAAGAAAGACGTGAAAAGCAGAAGCCGAGTAGTGTACAGGAGAAGTACAAGCATGTGAGACTAACTCCCACCATCCACTCCACCTATACAAAACATGGGTTGACCCTGCAGGAAACGTTTTCCAGGAGCAGATGGAGTGGATAAAACAAATGTTCAACCCATGTCATGTTCAACACACAACACTGAGGTGGTAAGTGCAAATTTTTTTTATTATTTATTTATTTATTTTTTTTCATACTTTCCCATATTGTACAGGCAATGTTGTTCTTCAATTGGCCCTTATATGCACATATCCATCTGAAGAATTCTATTAGGAACATTTTCATACCTAAATGAGCGCTGTAACACGAAAATTGAGATTACCACCAGGAAATAATACTAAACATATGTGGGCAGGAATTGGGAGTGTAGCGGGAAGGCGTCGGAGCGCTCGCTCACGGCTAACGCGTGGCCCGTCTTCAACTCATCGGCGGTTGGAGCGTGACCAGGTTTTTTATTTTATATGCTAATGTTCCTCTTGAGAATTCTATTACGAACCCATTGAGACCAAAATGAAAGACCTAGGACGAAAATTGAGGTAACCAGAGTGAAAATAGTGAAAACATTTTATCGCGTTTGCGCGCTCCCGGGTAACTCGTTCGCACTTTCTCTGCTTGCTGCGGGTAATTAGCCGGGCTTTTGGAGTTTATATGCATTTAGTGCTGTAGAGAATTTTATTGCGAACACAATGATACCAAATTTAATCTCGTAGAACGAAAATTGAGGTGACAAAGTTGAAGAGAGTATAAACTTTTTGGAATTGACGCGCGCTTCCGTGACACGCTGGGGCCCATATCGCCTTGTCGAGGGGTGGCGCGCGGGGTGCGCGAAAGTGTTAATATTCAGTGCTTCAATAATTGGACAATATATTAACATGCTTAATATTTAAAATAAATGAACTATTTTCCTATAATACAAATTAGTACTTTCTCCTGATCTAAGTTCTAAAATATAGAAATAGTCTTGTGTGGAAACTTGATGTATTGTATAAAAAAATTAAATATTTACTAAATTTAAAGTTAATTTATCATTGGCAGATATATTATAAATATTTTACAGTACTGTATCCCTTCAGACAAATTTGGGATTAAATGCTGCAAGTATATCTTTAAATAGAACACAAGTTTTCTGGTTTCACCTTCACCACTGGCAAATATTGATACATTTACTATTCCTACTGTCAGTCTTAATTAATTGACCAAAACCATAGTACCTCATACACACTGAGCTTATCTCATTCTGAAGTACAACTGGAGAAAAAGCATGTTGTAGGTCAAATGTTTAAATAAATTTACATTTAAACTAGCAGGAATTTGAACAATTCTCACTGTCTCACCTCTGAGTCACTCTGAAAGTCTCCTTGTAGGCCAGAGGTACCTTTAGTCCACACCATGTTGCGCATCTTGTGCTTGAAGCACAGAAGAGCATTACGAAAATCATCCTCACTCAGATCCTGGAAGGCAGCCATCTTCTCCATGGGCATAGTAGTGTAGAGCTTCAGGTATGACCTCATCACGCTGATTTGCTGCTGCTGCTGCACTTCATCCAAAAATACCTGAATATACACAACTTATAAACATTACCATACTAGATGGGGTTTTCCTACAATAAAATATATACTGTATAACAAAACTAATCTAATCCATATAATCTGGCATGTTTAACTAGGGTAATAAAAACTGGTTAATGATACTTGCCTTTAGTTGCTGTTGTAAGGGCTCTTTGTGGGGGTTTGCTTGTGTGGAGTCAAAAGGTGGAGGTACAGGGCTTAGAAACTTTGGGCAGGCAAATGTGAAACACTGCGTGAACTCTGCAGTGTCACCACGCTGAAAATATTACAGTATATACAATAATTATAGAAAATACAGTACTGTATTATTTATATTATATATATATATAGATATTTTCTAGACATTCTCTATCTGATCTAACTGTAAACATCTAAAACAGCATTAGGCACTTGCACAGAAAACAAGACCCCAAATTTTTCCATGAAATTTGGGGTCTTGTAAACAGGAATGACCAATGAAGTTCAGAAAATGTAGGTCATCATCTCTTCTATGAGTTTACTGATAATCATGTAATCCTTTTTCACTAATTAGATACGAGTCATTAATTTATCAACTTTACAAATACTTCTCGTGTATCAACTTACCGACATACAAGCCATCTTTGCAGCCAGAGTTTTCTCTCTCAGTGAGGACTGTACAGCTTCATCAATCCTTTGTGGATGAAGCACCATGCAAATGGATAGGAGTGTATACATCTGTTCAGTCTGCAAAGAAATGGCTTGCTGTATATAAATTCATAACCAAGATAAAGTTAAAGATCACATCTCAGACAACAGCATTATACATCATGATGAACACATTCTACAAAGAAATGTTAAAAGGGTAACTTCCCCACCCCTCTACTCTGCCCCTTTCCTGTATTTAAACACAGGCAAATATACCGTTTTCAGAGGGGTCGGACCTAGGTCGATATTTAAAGTTAAATACTGTATGCAATATTTGAACTTTGTAACGCTGCTGCTCACAAATGAATAATAACCCTCTATGAGGAGTTATTATGATAGGGGAAACTAAACATTCCAGTCACAAATGCTCTGGGCCACTAGGTGCAAAACAATGTCCTATGGCAGTGCCCTGTTTGGTACCAAGTGTGCAAATGACACAAATCAAAATCCAACACACATGAACCAATTTTCAGATTTGGGAATAAAGTGTAATATTTTAATTCTGCTAAAATTCTGAGTATTTTTTCCTTTTGGATTCATACTAATTTTATTAAAGCCAAAAGATAATACTATAACATAAGGATTAATGAGTACATGTACTTAACCATTCATGCTAAGGCCTAGGCCATTACATTATGTAAAACAACAGCAATCATCACATAATATTATACAAACCAACCCAACGTAACAAGCATTAAGATTGTTCGGCTAAAATGATTAAAATACTTATTACTGTACTAGTAATATGAAAAACAGGATGACACTGAAAAACTTTCACTGTCGTCCTGTGTCACACAATACCTACCTGTTTGTTGATCTGATCATTCTGGTAGTTTCTGGTTTGGAACATAGCCTTGGTGCGCTGAATGTACACCAAGATATTGGAAAATGTGCGAATAGCATCAGCATAGCGACGCATCATCATGTATGCAAACCCTACATAATAGTACGTTGTAATTTGACAGGCAGGTACACGAGAATACATAGATTTCTTGTTCAATTCAATGTTCTCCAAAACCTGAAAATATATTAATCCAAATTATATGTACATTCCTGAAGTGACACATCTAAATTGTCTTGAAAACGAGTAAAGACATTTACGGTATCAATATGTAATTCACCTCTGAGTCTTTACAAAGTCCTATTTGTGTTTACAGTACTACTGGACTGGTGGCAGGCAAAACTATAAGAATTACTGTACCAACAACAAAGATAGAATCTATATGAAATTTACACAATCCTGCAAATATTATTTATTCAATAATTTGATTTTAATAGCTAAACTTCACCTTGATAGCCTGATAGTAGTCCCCAAGCAGAGAATGAAGCCGTAGGAGGCCAATAAGTGAGAAGTAACCCAACATCTTGTACAGTGGATGGCGACCAAATTCACCTGCCACACTGTCAGGATCTCCACCACTAGTGTACACCTGTATGAGTACAAAATGGGTAGAAAACATTGTTGCATGATGTGCAAGTGGGCAATAGTGCATAAAAATAATTAGGTTTAGTACTTTCAAGCAAGATAAAACAATGTTATCTGCAGAACTTTTATAATCTAGATAATACTGCAAAATTCTTTAAAGATGAAATAACTTACATAAAACTTTTTTCTTTTATATAAAAACTGAAGCCAAAATGAGTTCATAAGTACTTTTAGTGATTTGTCAATCTTGAGCCCAGTCAAAATATTTATAGAAGACTTATTAACCCTTAAATGGCTCACATCAACTAATGTTTTTTACCACTGGCTACTATTACCGAACATAATTGTAAACTTTATAATTATACATTAAAAATAATTAATTACAAGAGTTTTGGAGCATATGGCACAAATGCACTCAAAAATATTTATTAACAAAATTGTGCTCATTTGTTTTTTCTTAAATCACTCGTTTATTAATTTTTCCCTTAAATTCTGTAACAAAATTACTCTAAATTTAAGGAACTAGTATCAATATTAAAATTTTTATTTTGAAATGCTATATATTCAAGTAAATATGGAATATTTGAAACTAAAATCTGTATGTTTCACTGTTATTTTGAAAGAAAAACATACAATTAATTTGCTTCAAATGTTGTAGAAATAGGCACTAAGGGTTAAAGCTACAACAAGGCCAAGTACTGGAAGCACTACAAATAAAGTTTTCAATTACCATATACAGTACAGTATTCTGAAAACCTAACTGTCATATAACCACTTTACTACGTAATTATGCAGGAATTTATAACTCACCTCAAGTTGTCTGTTGATATTGGATTTATCAACCAAACAATGCAGGACATTGAGTACAGAGTGAACATTCCAGATCTTGGGAGATTCTTTCAGCATCTCAATATCTGACTCACTCTTCTTGCCAAGTTTAGATCTAAACTGAGAGAACGACTGAAACTGATATATGAACTCATCAATGATCTCCCACAGCCACTGGTTGGGAAGTTCCATGGGCACAGGTGTTTCAGCACCTAAAAATTACAAAGTTATATCAGAAGATAAGTAACAGCACCAACTTACACCGTACACCCGAAGGTTAACAATGCATATTTAGTGTGACCCATATTTTAAAAGGTTTCAGTTTACACAATGTGATCTTGTGTGAGGGAAAGACTATGCAATTTAAATTAACTTACACAGTACAGTACATCCAGCTTATGTGACTTTTATAAAGCAATGCACGTTATCAGCAGCAAATATATAGAAAATAAACTGCACTTATTAGTTGGTTACATCATCACATTTTTAATAACAGAACTTTGAACTTTTTTTAAAACTAATACAAAATCCAACTGTATGCACCTTGTACCATACAAGACAAGTTTAATAACTTACTCAGGATATAATTGAAGAGATTACAATAGTTGTAATAAGACTCAAAACGTTGTGGTATAGTAGGTCCTCCTTGTACCCTGGCATATATGTGGCGATAGTACAACTCTCGATACAGAATGAGAAATATGTCATCCCGGCCATCTTGTTCTACTAGCTTGTTGCTATACAAATCTTCCACTTCAGGCCATGTCTGGGTCTTGTAGTACTCCTCAGTCAAACGATTGAAGCTGAAATACGCAAATGAAAGAAGTCAAAACATATTACAAACGTACACTATTATTAACAGTAACAATAATGATGATAATCATTCTAACTAGTTTTTCAATTATTGTAGAACATTAAAAAATTATAACTTTTTAATTATTTCACATTTTTTTTTTTAGCATTCACAACTATCATATACAGAGAGTGACTTGTGCAAAAACTAAGTAAACAAGTAAAACTAGCAAACAACAACATACTTACTCCAGATAAAGTGGAGGAATATCATACACATTCCCATCCCGGATGGCATCTCTGAAGTAAGTGACGTATTTTTTCACTTCTTCAGGAATGGAATAGGTTGGGTAGTTACTACGATCTCCATACTCTCCTTCACCTCTAACAGTGTAGTGGTAATTCTCAGGATCTTCCACAGGATAGTTGTCATACTGAATGTAAAAATTACACATTAAAATACAGAAATTAGAAAATGCTCCTTTAAAAAACAAAAAATTTCCATCCTGCTTAGCTGAAAATTAACCTCATTCTATAACAGAAGTACCATGTATGCTTGGTACCCGAATCACCGACTTTTTCACCAGAAATGTCCAAAAATTAACTAATTCAAACTTTTTTCAGGTTTCTTGTTCAGCAGAAAACACAATAACCCAAATTTCTATTAGAGTTTAAAAGTCAAGCACTCAAATTTATTCAGATTACTTTGAGATTCAGATAACTGAATATGAATTACCTAGCCCTTACTGTAGTGTATAGAACCAGGATTTTCAAATTGTGTTGGTGTTTCATTACATATATTCTTGTGCAATTCTAAGAGTGAAAGAGGCATTATTAATTATTATTATTCACACTCCCAGTGACATCAGAGAAGCCCATAGTTCGCCCAGTCAGATTGTGTATGATTGAAATGGCATTCTGATAGGCACTATATGGAGGCTCCGACTTAAATTAAGTGATACGAAATGCAAGCTCGGCCATCTCTTTGTGCTCCATCTTGTCATTATAAGTGAGGCAACCCTAGGGTTAAGATGTGGATTCCCCCGGAGCTCTAGTTCCGTCACTCCCTGCACCATAGTAGATTAAAGTTACTTCTGAAACTGCATCCTGTTTGTGCCAAGAAATAGCAACTGTGTGGGCTCCATTCAGCAAGACACGCCCATAGGAAATGCACATACAGTACGTGAATGTGGGCGCGAGCCAGCTGAAGAGTAAGTAAACTAATTATTTGCATATGCATTATTGTCTTGTATTGTGCGCTAAGTGTAGTCCAGCGAGCTTTGTGAATGTTCTTGACAGTTTGGGGCAGCCATTCAGAGCAAGACCTCCCATAGTGCCGGTTCTTGACCAAGCACAAACATATGCTTGGTCAAGAACATGTGTCACATGTGTGAGAACATGTCAGATTTAATTTTACAAGCATCATCTTGAGCTCCCAATTGTCCCTTGAATACGGCAGTGGTGTTTAGGCAGCCATTATTGCTCAAGGTGTTAATTAACAGTGTCAAGTTAGGTTACATTACATCCCCTGGATATCGTCAGCATGAGACAATACTATGCATAGATCAAAATGACAGTTTTGAGATTGACAGAACTATCATAGCCTATGACAGTTCAAAATAAAGACAATTATCCCCCCCTCCTTTCCATTTTATACATTTCTTCTGTGTTCTAATTTAATTATAAATTTGTATGTTACAGCACATGGTGTTTCAGGAAATCCTTTCTTCCTTATACAGTACAGTATTTGCAAACTTTGTCATATCGGTTCCATAAACAGATCCTCCGCCAATACCAGAGGTCAATAAATTTGATGAATCAAAATATTTGATTTCCCTGTACCACAAGGTCAAGATCAGACACTACTTATACTTTATCTGGTAAGAATTCAAGGTCTTGTGCCTGTTGCTCTAGGCATTTTACCTTATTGATTGATGTGAGCAGTTAGCATTCCTGTCCAGCTCAACTGCACACTTCCACAGTCCACGTTTAACCAGCAAACCTCTCTCTCAAAGTGGCAGCTGACTGAAAAGCATTTGCTTTATTAGCTGAATTAGTCAATGTTCCACCCCTGAGGGAACAAACCACACAGCACTCAGGGTTGTAGATATCGCCAACCCAACAAGCAGCATGGCAGAGGCAAAAAGAATGACCATCGTCTGGTAGAAAAAATGATGAGCATTCTTCAAGTTGACATGGCGAGAGCAGGCTCTACGTGGTCGAACAAACCATGCCAAAGTCCCACCAGGAAATTACCAAGACCTGAAGGCAGCTAACCAAGCAGGACAACCAGACGCACAGACCGCTCGCCAGAAGACGTACAGGAAGCGCCACCAAAACAACCAGGTTATGACTGGTGACTGGTGTGTCATACACATGCGAGCCCAAGCATAACCAACACAATGACCCCAGCCAAGGGCCCAAACAGAGGAGACACTTTTGAATAGCCCCAAGCAAGGCTCTACACCCCGGTGGCCTGGCCTCTCAAGGTTAAACTCCCAAATACACCAGAGAAGATATCGGTCAGTGCAGGAGCAGTGCTAGTAGGCACCCTGACAAGGAACCCAGAGCACATACAGCCCAAAGAACAACAAAGCCAAGCCTGAGCAATAAGCCAGATTGAAAGCATGCACATGAAGCAAATACCATACTAAAATGGAGAACAGTACAAAGCAAATGTCCCCCACAGGAACAATTCCAAGGATGGCTGGCACTTGGCTTGAAGCAGGGAGGGTAGGAGTCTTGTCATGTCTAAAAGATCCAGAACAGCAGTGTCCCACAGGACATCAGCCAAACAACTGACAAGATAGCTATGCATGGAAGCCAGGCTGCCTAATGGTGACATTAGATGCTATGAGGCATGTGCTAATTTTTAATGTTTTTCTTGTGTGTGTGTGAATCGTTTGCAGAGTTCTTTGGCATTTGAGGATTTGGTTTTAGTTAATCCTCCAGTTGTCTGTAAAGCTTCACTAACTTTCTGGATGCTTTCCCAATATGGTGGTCAATTATCACTTGCTCTCTCTCTGCTTCCGAGAGGAGGGACAGGTTTCACCTTTGGTTCTCTGTAGGTCTAACAGAACACCCACATCTGATGCGACCGATTTGCATGGAACAACCTCGGCAAGATATCAGAAAATGTACAACATGTTCAGGACATGTGCAAGGATGATATACAGTAATTGGAAAGAAAAATACAAACTATCTACCATATTTATTTGTAAATAAAGGAACTCAAGCTGTATGAACTCAAAATTTCTTACAGATTACCTATCATTAAATATCTGCAATGACCACAAATACATAAAATGGTGGTTGTGCATACCATCCTCACACTAAAAATGCCCCTCAGATTTGATGCAAACAACAACAGCAGCAGCATCAAAACTGGGATGCTGTAACAAAATTGAAGCTACTTAATTAGTGCACAGACTTAAATGCACTGACCTCAAAAGGTAAATGGTTCATCTAGTTTTGTATTTAGGCTATACAAAATCATAAATACATGAACTCTTTATAAAACTGTTGAAAGATCATTATCAAAATACTACTATTAGTAATTTCACGTGTCAAACATTATACAATCAATTACCTTCAGTTATCCAAGTTCACATACAGTACACGGATACACAAGTAGGATTTTTTTGAAAGAAATTAAGCCCCCACCAGAAGTTGTAGGACTGGGAATGTTGTTCATGTGCAACTAGTGGAATAAAGAGGAGGGGTTGTGAACATTAAAGAGGAAACTACTCATGTGTCCTTTTTAAAGTTCAAATCTAGAATGGCTACATATGATTAACGCACAACATAAAGTATAACGTTAGCCCTTGAACTGCACACAGTGAATTACAGCACTACTGGTGATGGTGGTGGTGTGCACGATAGCACTCTTGAGTACTGTATATCGTGACATTTAAAACGACCACGGGGCTCACATTTGCTTCCTCACCGTCCATGTAACCATCCCCCTATCTTGGGGAAAAAATTAAATAAATCACGAGTCCCCTACTGGCTCTCTAGGGCTTTAGTAAAAAGGCGAGGTCTATGTTTGGCACATCACCAGCCAGTGTCTAAATGTTTACCATGTATATATATTTACAGCAAAGGCAAAATGTGTAATACTGTATTTGCAAATATAATATTTATGCCTATACAGTACACACACATTATATTACTGTATATACATATATTTATATATTACAGTATATAAATATATATTATACATTATACACATGTATATATACATACACAGTATTAGCAGGGAATAAATGTGTGTACTGTATATTTATATATAAAAAAAAGGAAGCTTTGCATATGTACAGTACAAAGGATTTTCAAAGTTATGCATAACGACCATCTTTGGCACATCAATACAACCTGCTAACGCAAAAAAATAGAGAAACAAAATAAATCAAATTTTATTCCTATGCAGCACCTCGCCTCATTTCCACCGAAAAAAATGCAATTTTTAAACGCAAAGCGCAAAACAAAAACACAACTTTAGGTAAACAACAAGAGGTCAACACACACCCACACCCACCCCACACACTCACTTTTGGATTTTCATCCTTCCTGGATGTTAATTAACAATCCCAAGAGAAAAACAAAATTCATAATTTTTTTTTTGTGAGCACCACAGAGCTGCCGCATTTAACAGGTGCACAGCACAGGGATTAAATAAAACCTGTAAACAATTCTTATGGGCCACCCAACATAACACAAGGGAATGGGACCAAGTAAATTCTTCAAGTAAACAATAGAACAAAGTGATGTTGTAATAGCTTTAAGAACTCGTTCTATAACATTTTTTATTTACCACATAAATTATACACTACAGTTGAAAACTGTCCAGTCAATAAGCAATTCTTCATTGGTGCAATATTTACAATTGAGCAACCAATTGGTGGAAAATAATTAGTACAAGAAAATTATTCACATTTTTTTTTTTTTACTGTACTTCTGAAATTCGATAACTGCATTTACATAAAGTATTTAATATCTTTCAAAAGTAAAACCATAATTAATGAGTCATAATTTATCTGCAAAGAAAATGCACTTACCATACATTTTAATTGTATTTATCTTAAATTTGCAACATTAGCTGAAAAAGCTGAGTTATCAGAAGAAATGATATTCCTTGAAATATATTTTATAAAGCTAAGCAAAAAAATTTGCTTTTACTATATACAAAATTTACCAAATGCAGTGAAAATTAGAGCATTTTGGAGGGGAAATACAGTATATCAGAGGTAGATGGAACCAAACTACCACTGGTGTTCTTGGTGATTATATTGGATCGCTAACCTTGTTGGATTAAAACACCACAGAGGACCCATGCAGCTACGGCCCTGATCTACAAGCATAGAGCCAATCCTGTGGCAAAGAGAGATCAATGTAATACTGAATACTGTATAGTGTTCATACTACATCAAAAGCTTTCAAGTCTGGTACACCGGTGTAAAATACAAGATGTCAGAACTGGGGCTTCCACAGAGATTTGCTGCCATACTATGCAATTCAGACAACAGCCGAGCTCAGTACTGGTAGCTACTTGGGGAATGAAATCGAACCGAAATGTAGAGTACCACAAGGGAAGTTGTTCCATCACCCACTTTTCAACACACAGTATATATTGCTGACCTGCCCCCTCCCAAATATGGACAATGCATAGCGTATACTAAAGACAAGTCAAATAATCTGCCGCCCCAGGACAATCTGACATTACTGGCTGACAAAACCAGGGCGGCACTACAATTCATAAACTTTGAAAAATAATTGAAAACAAGTGCCAACAAACAAAAGGTTTCAAATAATACACATTATAAAAGTAAATCCAGAGCCTATTATCCTTGACAACCACCCAATCCAACATATGAATGTAGGCAGAATGCCAAGACAAAAGATTAATAGAACAGAAATCAAGATACAGTACATTTAAATGACAGAATAAACAAAGCAAAAACAATCTTGAACAAACTGTCAAGATTCCATAACCTTTGCACACTCCCCTGCATACCTTAAAGAAAACTAACATGCAAAAGTTAAATGGTACAAAATAAGGGGTTAAGAAATTTGACCAGATACAATGGCCATAAGACCAAACAATTCTGGAACTCCATGAATTTTTAACATCAGAGTGCAACAGCAAGCCACCAGGGCATGGAATATTATCAAAATGCAAGAAGACCCAATGCTAGAAAGAATACTCCATGTTGAGTCACCCCACAGATGGTGGACCAAGAGTTTGGATGTACTCAAGGGCAATCAAGCCCCAAAATACATAATTCGAAGTTGAAACACAGACTAGAATACCCTTGCACAACATGCAAAGGCCCTGACAAAACATCAAAACCTGTACAAAAGCATTTGAGTGTGTACGAGTGAATGGTATACAGTACTCGTCTAGACACCCATATATAGCACAGTACAGTATATTGAAATACACAAGACAAACCTACAAACACTTCGCTCCCTAACAAAACCTTAGCTACCAAATACACACACATTGTGTCAGCAAGGCAGACAGCCTGCCTGCTATCTTATTATATTTAACATTTCCTTCACTTGCACCTCTCCATCTTTAGCCCCCCTCTCAAAAAACCAGCTGCTGTAACACTTGTTTTAGTTCACAATCTATTTTGATTGTATTTTCATAGATAATAGCTCCATTTGAATGGATATCAAGCAATCATTTAAATGAGTTGGATTACTTCTGAAGCATCTTTATGCCACATTTTTCTTTTGACTCTGTCCAAACCTGCAGTCTGGTTTTGTCAATTGCCTTTTCTCAATTTTATATTTTTGTTTTTCAATTTTATGCTTTCTTCTCCAGAGTTCAGCAGAGCCAGCACTCATTTTCAGTTTTTGCCTCAAGCGTTTCAGTTCTATGCAGTTACAAACATTCATCCTCAGACGTTTATTTTCATTGTATAAAAACCGAATCTTCCTTTTCAAACAGGCTTCCTGCTTTTTCTGTTGTCTAATAACTTGCTCTTCTAATTTTAACTCCATTGTTAATTTTTCAACTTTCTCCTCAAGTGTCCTGCAGGCAAGTTCAGAGCAACTTTTTATTTCCTTCTGAGGAAAATCATCTTGAGGAATTTTAGTTTCTTTTCTCTTAATCTTTGGTAGCTTATACAGCTTTTCTTGAGCTTCAACCAAACCTGAACCACTTCCCTTAGATTTTTTCAGGGTTTTTAAGTTCTTTGCAATAAAATGAAAACTAGTGCACAGTGTATCAATTGAAACATCTTCAACAGGACACTTGAATATTGTGCACATGTAATTCAAAACAGTTTTCCATGCAATTTTTTTATTCTGACGATACAGATGTATTTCATTAATTAAGCCACGTTTTATGTCTGCAGGTTGTAGGGTTACAATTTTTGTAGCAAAGTTTTCTTCAGTTAAACCAAGAGCATCACTGTAAACCCCCAAACTAGTCATACTTGACACCTGTAACAAAAATAAATTTGGCATATCAATTACCAAGTACAGTACTCTGTTATCCTATTATCTAATTTGTGCTTATACTTTCATATACAATATTTTATGTAATGAAAATTATGTACTAGCTCAACTTGATTATATATTAATTTTAGGTGATTGGATCATTCAGAATGTAAGAGATTCAAACTTTATCATTTATAATTGCCTAAATTAAATTTAAATCATTGCTAAAAAAAACCTCAAACCTACCAGTAAAGTACATTATAAATTTAATAATGCCTTTATAACAATATTTACAAATATTGTTATAAGAAGCAGCAATTGCCCAATTTTTACCATTGTCATCAGCATTTGGATTCGATAACTATCAGGAATTAAGATCAAGGAACTTGTCCACCATTTGCAAGGAATCATAAGCATTTAGTATGTTTAGAACATTCAAATGTGTTAATCGAGAAATCAAGGATTAGAACACAAAACTTGCAACTTGTGGAGTAATCACAAAAAAAAAAACTTACTTTACTGGAGATATATACCAGGCACTTTTCATACACAGTACAGGTGAACCTCATTTAACGCCGGAATTACGTTCCTGAAAACCGTGACTCGATTGAAATGACGTTCAGTGAAACCAAAAACTTCACAGACCTAAAGTTATAAGCAAGGATCACATTCCTAAGATACTGAAAAAGATGATGTTTGGTAATTCGTTCATTCACCTTTGTCATACCTACCTAGCACTTAGCTTGGTTTCTAATGAAATTGTCTTCCTTTGTTTCTTTGGCCTATCATTAGAATTACAACCTGTTGAAGCCCGTTTACCCACGCCACCTTTCCCAAGGAAATTTGTCACTAATAATATAGAGCTTAGAGCTTGCAACCTTGTTTGCCCATGATCAGCTGGCGAGATACATTTGTTTCAGCAGCAGTAAAATTCTCTTAGTAAGGCGTTAAAATGGACATATGGTTGTATTATATTAATACAGCACAGTACTAGTATTATATAATTGTTATGTACAGTACATATTGTGGGCAATTATTTTCGGCAAATGAAAAGTTAATTTTTAATAATATATACAGTACAGTGTTTGTTGACAATATTAGCTCTCGTATACTGTACAATACTATGTTTTCTGTAAGTACCATAGACTTCCACATTGTTTTCTCGATCCTACATTAATAAACTTAAAGTAGAGCCGTTTGCCTGCAAGACCTTAAACTTACTATTTTTTTTCTAACAACGTAAAAATTAAATGAGGGTCACCTGTATCAGTGTTGCCATGTAATGAAGTCATTACCCCATTTCCTTTGTGGTAAAGAGAATAAGAGGGGTTAAATATATTGAATGTCTAATAAATCTTAAAAGGCCACTGCTATATGCTGTAATGTGAAAAGAAAGCACATTATGTTTACCATTGTGTAGAATTTAGAAATCCTTATAAAACACTGAACATTGTAGTGTTGGGCCATTAACAATCTCAAGACACTAAGAAATACAGTAATATAAAAAACTGTTGAAGTTTTACACTTGGCAAAGCACAGCACAATGCATAGGGCTAGGTCAGCCAATCCTGATAAGTTACTGTACAATGTAAACCTACTGGAATTGACATTTGTATCAGACATCTTCTAGAACAATCTATGTTCTATTGAATTCAACATGCTATTTTTTAATTTTATAACCTACAGTACAACCAAAGATCACAGCACTGTCTTTATTAGAGTAGAAGGAAGTGTTTTGCACACCCATTTTGATCTAAAAATCACCTAAGAAAATTTCTTCTAAATTCCTGTCCAGGAACGTATGGACTTGCTCCGAAGTTAATCTTTCAATACTTTTTACCACAACCAATCAATTTAAACAGGTTTTCCACTGTATCTAGCTTTCCTAAATACCAAGATCTTTTCGAGTAGTTCACTCTAGTTAAAGCAATGCCCCAGTGAAAGTGCTATATTTCTAAATGTGAACCTTGAATTAGGCCAAGCAATTTCATCAAGAGCTGTAAATTGGTAAGTCTTTTATTCTCTGGCAAGTTACATGTTGCATCATAACATTCACCATGTGAAACTGGTTAGCAACTGCTGAAAAGCCCATTGATAAGTAATGTACACCACCAATTTTTCCAAGGATGACTATTGAACTAAAAAATTAATTATGAACCTATAAAATAAGAGTCCTGCTTTCTCAATTTTATTATCTCTACAGAAGTCCACACTGTTCATTTTGAAAGTGGAAATTGTAACTTGCCAAGTACAGTATAGTAAATACAGTTTTATGATTAAATGATGGAATAAGCCTTCTGCAGTGTTCCTCGCCCTACAAATACCATGTCTGAAAGACCTGGAGCATTGTCCACCATGACATCAGTGAAAGATAGCAATGAAGATGGCTTTGTGCAGAAGCCAGGTCACATGGTGGTAACATTTGGTACAATGTTTTCGCGCTAATTTTGAATATTTTGTTCCGAGTGAATCATTTGCAGAGGTGTTTGGCATTTTCAAGTCTTTGGTCTTTGTTAACCCTTCAGTTGTCCATAAAGTTTCAAAGATTTTCCCGATTCTTTCTCCAGTGTCGTGGCAAATTGTCACTTGCTCTGTGAACCTCTGTGATTGGGCCAGGTTTTGGCTCTGGTCCCCAGAAGGCTAAACACAAAGACAACACCTGATGTGACTCCTTTACATGGAGCAATCTCAGTGAACAACCAAGAAATACCTGTAATTAACTGACAATCCTCTTTTGGCTGTTACAAACAGACAAACCAAGTTTGAATTTCCAACATGTTGAACCTAGACTCAGTGGTTAGAGGACAGCCCGGGGCACTGAAGATTAGCCAACTTGAGACAGATAAGAGATGAGCAGGGGTAGTTTAGGGAAGGATGTGGTTAATGTAAAAGGATTAGCAAATTGTAACAGTTATCAAGCCCATTAAATAAAGCAGGAGGCAGCAAGGGGTAAATGAAAAGCAAAGAACAAGACAACCAACAGTTACAAACAACATGCTAAGGAAATTATACATGCTTCATCAAGCTGAACACTGAGAAACTTGTTACATCTTAACACACAAATTAGTTCAAATCACTTTCCAGCTATAACCCTTACAGATATAAAACAAAAGCATACATTTTAAATCTTACCTGCATTGATTGGAGAATGGTGAACGAGAATAGAGTAACATCTCCATCTCATAAATGGGCTTTAATCCACAGGGGTCTGGACGATGGTGTGCACATATGCCAATAACAGGATCGTCCAATATATTTATGAATTTTTCAATAAACCAAAATGATTAATGAAACAATTCCATGCTTTGGCTACTGAACAATTAATAAAGTCCAACAACCATGATTTCATGTAATAAAGTTCACATATGCCAGCTGCTGTGCAGAGGTAGAAAAGTTGTTGGTTGTAGATGTATATGTAACCAGTAACTTAACATTAGCAAATCTGACACGGGCCAACTCCTTACCCTTTCAGAATACCAAAAACAATGTTCAGACATTTTTGTCGCCCCATATGTTACGGACCCGAGCCCAACGTCCGAGCACGGAGCAGTGACGACCACGCCATCTGTGGGTCAGCTCCCGAAACCCCCTCCAAATGGACGGCGCCATCAAGTGAGGACAGGAAATACCAGCCACAAGGGCTAGTTTCCCGTCCTGATCAGCTCATAACACAGCCGCTGCTGACCTCTGGTGAGGTGGCGCTCAGACAGCAACGCCATCTATGGAGTGGATAGGTGGGCGTTTGGGTCTGAGCCGGTAAGTGACGTGCCCTAGAGTGTCCCTAGTACTGATGACGTGTCTGATTACAGAGTCGACCTGGGACTGCTGAATCGGACAGTGGATCAGTCTACCCAAGGCAGCCGTCTTGTCTCCAAGTGTTTGCTGCAGCAGCTGAGAGTCGCCCCCCGGATGAACACTGTGGTGTTAGCCTGCCTGTGAAGTGGCAGTTGAGGGATTGTCATACCCGGGACCGACTGGTGGAGACGCTTAACCACTGGGGTGTTGTGGAAAGGAGAGTGACCTGTGGGATCACACGTGGCTCCTGACTAGGGCGCGACCTTAGTATCGATCGTGGAGTGGCCTAACCAGCGTTGCTGATTGGAACCTGCCAGCTACGGGCTGGATTTGTGGTTGACGGCCTCCACGACGGTGCCCCCAGTGGAACTGTGATTTGGCTGGCCTGTGGCCAGGGTAGACTCAAGAGAATCGAAGGATTCATCGTAAGGCCACAAGAGGACTAAGAGCTTAGCCTTGTTGAGCACCGTGAACGTCCAGAGTCTTCAGAGGAAGACTACGTTGTGTATAATAGTGTTTAACCCCCCCCTTGTGTAACCTTTTATATATTATTTATGGTGACGGTAATAATTATATTATTAAGTTTTTGCCTTTATTTCCCTTCCCCTTTAATTTACTTGCGTTACGGATCACATCCCTTGAAAGCCACTATTAGCTTGGGGCCGGATACCCTACCTCTAACAACATCAGAGTAAGAACCCGGTTGCGACCCGAGAGGGCCGTAACACCATACAGTGGACCAGATTGAAGTAAATAGCCAAGTCACACACGATGCTAAATCAAAATGCAAGTTTATCAATGTTGGCTAATGTATTTTAGTGAAATTGACCAAATGAAATGAAGTAGTTTGTCTACAATTATAGTATAGCAACCCTGTACAGTACATTTATGTATTACATAGCCTACTAACAAGATAGGAAAGTAATTAGATTAAACAATATTTGTAGTTACACAGAAAACTCAATTACAACAGTACATGTAAGTACTCCTATTTACTCAATGTATTTTACTAAAATACTAAAAACTAGAAAAAATGGGTGTAAATTGGATGAGCTTACATTTAAGAAAGACCTGGGTAAATAATGGTTTGGTAATAGGGTTGTAGATTTGTAGAACAAATTACTGGTAACAATAGAAGTATACCTGGAGAGGGTTTTGGGAGTTGTTCTCTCCGTGATACTGTTACTTAGTCCAACAGGTTGTTGCTTGGAGCGGCCGCAGACCCACATATCCACTACAGCCTGGTTGGTCTTGCACTTCTTGCAAGAACCTGTCCAAGTGCCTTCTGAATATCTCCACCTTCATTCCGGCAATATTTCTAATGCGTGTTGGGTGTTGAACAGCTATGGACCTTTGATGTTCAGACAGTTTTCTCCGATGGTGCCTATGGCACCTCTACTCCTCACTGGTTCTATTCTGCATTTCCTTCCGAAGGGAGTAAGTAGGATCCTTTGATTGTTTCACTCGTAGGTTATACATACACGTATATGAATGAGTTTGGGTGGATATTAATAGGAGCTGCCTCGTATGGGTCAAAAGGCTTTCTGTAGTTACCTTCATTCTTATATGCCATTGGTCATAAGATCAGTTATCCAAGTGTCGGTAATTGGTCAGGGTCGTCGACCAGGCAGATTGGTCGATGAAAGGGCCGCGGGAACGCTAAGCCCCGAAAACACATCAAGGTAAGGTACTCTCACCCATTTGTAAAGGCAAGGTAATTATCAGGAGAAAGCACTAAGCCATTAAGACAATATAGCACTTTGAAGAGATATGAGAGGGATTTGGGATAGGACAACAGGAAGGAATGATATCCATCCATTTGGACAGTTGGGGATCGAACGACGGCCAGCAAGAAGTGAGGCCGTCACTAATATCCAGAGTCCAAGTGGTTGGGCACCCCATTTATAAAAGGATATCACTAGTACAAACCTAAACACTAATTTATACAATATCCACCATCCTTTCAATGCTATTGCATAGCATACCTGTGACAACATACAGTAGAGTACTTGGTACCTCCCCGCCCCCTTCATAATCCAAGCAGCAAATCACTGGCTCCTCAAATGTTCAGTGGCTTTTATCGCAAAACCCACTGAACATCAGTTTTAATATCAATACACAAAATGGCATAAATCTAATAAGCAACATGCATAAACACTGAAAAGTTAAATATTCATTTTAACTTTTAAACTTCAATATTTCAACAGACTACATTAAATTTTAAGGCTCCTTTAAATAATTTTTATGCAAGTTTCATCCAACAATATAAATTTGCTAGCACAGTATTTTCTTTGGCCATGGGTGGTCCATGACTGGGCAGTATAATGCCAGAAACGCTGCTTCTTCATATTGATCACTGTTCCATTAATAAAAATAATCTCACTGCCCAAGACAAAAAAATAACCGGACAATATGAAGTGGAGAGACAGTAACGGCCTCAGCATGCAAACGTGTTCAGAGCATCGTGTACACACGAGCGAACACGACCTTTGTGAGACTCGAGTTGGAATATGCAGTTGTATGGTGCCCACATCTTAAGAAGTACATCATTAAAGTAGAAAAGGTGCACAAACATGCAACTAAATGGCTTCTGGAACCAACCGAAAAACAAGAGCTACGAGAGGCGAGGCTAGACGCAATAAACATACCAAAACAAAAGTAATATGATCACTATGTACAAAATAACAGGAATTGATAAAATTTACAATTTTGAAAGCTGCAACTTCAAGAACAAGAATATATAGGTTCAAATTAAGGAAACAAAGCTGCTGGAAAAAAAGACAAGAAATATTCTTTCGCAATCAGTGGTAGACGGTTGGAACAAGTGAGGTGGTGGAAGCCAAAACTGTCAGTAGTTTCAAGGCGTTATACGACAGAGTACTGGGAAGACGGGACACCATATAGCGTAGCTCTGATCCTGTAACTACACTTAAGTAGTTACTCAAGATAATAAAGTGGGGTTTTTGGTTAGCGGCAAAAAGAAAAGAAGACATTCTTCATTTCTTTCAAGTCACACATTTATACCCGACAGTGTGAGCCCATGCAGTCCAAGGAGCACCGCTTATATAATAGTGAGAAACAAGGTGACGAAAGTGACAGCAACAGTGATATTAGTAACAATTGATGTAATAATGAGAGCCTGAGGTGTGGAGTATAGTCAGAGGAAAGTGTAGCAGTGTGTCTACACCTGCCACCATGACCTGCTCTTGACCCGTGCAGACCTAACCTTTCCATACATGTGGACTTAATCTACCCTAAACTTAAACAACTTCACATATAATATATAGAATTGACTCTTATTAGCAGACTACTGAAACCGGTGCCTCAACTTTTAAGAAAATATGGTCAGTATTGTACTGTGAAAATGGGCTACAGAATATACCAAGCAGACTATTATCACAACATTGAACAACTGTACACCTTTCACTAATTCTGTTCAGGGTGCAGCAACTATTAACGTGCTCCGCTCACCTCGTCCACAAATTCGTTGTACATCTTGACCGATTTTCAGCACAAAATGTTGAAGGGTGGCTGTGTGTGGGACACTATGGGTGAGTAGTGTGGTGTTGACGAGCAGCAAGCAGCCAGCGCTCCTGATTGGTCCAGCCGCGCCGACACGCTAGGTGCAGGACCACACTCCTCTGTGAATGGCTGACGGCACGCACAGACCGAAAGTCCATGCTGATTGGTAGAGAATATGGCCACCTTATTTTTTTTTGTTATCTCTCTCTCTCTTAAGGAGAGGGAACTATCAGGAGAAAGCGCCAAGCCATTACGACTATATAGCACTGGGAAGGGGTCAGGATAAGGAAAAAAGAAGCCTAAGGTTATTAATATAAAAAAACTACGAGGAACCATTGTTGATTACCCATTGCTATTGGGGGTGCTATATTAATTGGATTAGGGCATGGCTATACCAAAGGAAACAGAGACTTAGTATAAATGGGGTTAAGTCAGTGAGGGAAAATGTTATAAGTGGAGTGCCTCAAGGCTCTGTCTTGGGACCTCTGTTGTTTATAATATATATATATATATATATATATATATATATATATATATATATATATATATATATATATATATATATATATATATATATATATATATAAATGATTTAAATTTAGGTTTGAGTAGCAACATTTGCAAATTTGCCGATGATACAAAAATCGGTAGGGAAATTAACACGGAAGAAGACTCATGCTGATAAATGTAAAGTTCTGAGACTAAGTAATGATGACAGAGTTACAAGATACGAGCTAGATGGTGTTGAGATTGCGAAAGGGATCTGGGAGTTATGATTAGTAAGAATTTAAAACCAAGGGATCAATGCATGAATGTTCGTAATAAGGCAAATAAGACACTGGGATTTATTAATCAAAGCGTTAGTAACAAGACACTTGGTGTTGTTCTTCAGTTATATCTTGCTCTGGTTAGGCCCCATTTAGATTATGCAGTTCAGTTTTGGTCGTCGTACTTAGAATGGATATAAATTCACTTGAACGTGTCCAGCGTAGGATGACAAAGTTAATTCCTCAAATTAGAAATCTTTCTTATGAAGAAAGATTAACAAAGCTTAAATTGCATTCACTGGAAAGGCGAAGAGTTAGGGGTGACATGATAGAGATTTACAAGTGGATGAATGGACATAACAAAGGGGATATTAATAGGGTATTAACAGTATCAACACAAGACAGAACACCAAACAATGACTATAAATTGGCTAAGTTTAGATTTAGGAAAGACTTGGATAAATATAAATACTGATTCGGTAACAGGGTTGGTGATTTGTGGAACCAATTACCGCGTAACGTGGTGGAGGTAGGGTCCCTCGATTGTTTCAAGCGTGGGATGGACATGTATATGAGTGGGATTGGGTGGTTATAGATAGGAGCTGCCTCGTAGGGGCCAATAGGCCTTCTGCAGTTACCTTTGTTCTTATGTACTCGGGAATATTGGAAGATATTCTTGTGCTAGTGGAGGCCTTACATTTCACGTTCTCTCCTGATTCCATGTATGACTGACCGTTCTGTGAGATCTACACTGTGTAATCTTTCATACAGAATAGGGTAGCAGCACATTGCTGAGTATACCTAAGCTTGTTAATAGTAAAAATATCGGAACCCTCCAAAATAACTAGTTGTGTTTTAGATTTTGTTAAATATTTTATTTTACTTAAGATTAGAAGATATGATGGAATAAAACAATTTTTCCAATTAACTTATTATTTATTTATGGAGTTAAATGCTCTCAATAAAGGCCACACTGAAAGAAATAGGTGAGCAGACTTAACATACGTCAGCAAATGATGGTATATTCAGTGTAGTAGCTTTGACATGAATATAAATAGTAGAAAAATGCACATATTCATCGTATGAGGTTGTGGATGAATGTCATGTGTATGAATGACAGTATGATGTTGTTGGGAGTAGTATTGAGGAGGTGGTAGTTGAGGTGTAAGCGACCCAGTGCAGGGTTGCTAGATTGGGCTACAAGTAGCGAATTGGGCTACAAGTAGCAAATTGGGCTACTTTTGAGAGCCCCGCACTCCCAAATTTTTAATTTCGCTACTTGCTACTTTTTGGGCTAATTTAAAAGCAAGTTCGGCTAATTTGGGCTATTAATGTTAAGAAACTCAATGATGATTATTTATGGTCAGATGCACCACAAACAAGCACCCCGCGATAGCAGCCACAGACTGACAATTTAAATGCGAACACAGCACGCAGTATATCCTTTTACGACCAAAGATCACATTCACTTAAAATAAATCTTCCACTTACGGGCTATTCATGCCGGTGCCACCTCTTGGATAGCTTAATCTTCATCAATCAATCACAAATAAGGAACAACGATTTCAAGTTCAACAAGCCACAACTTAGGACAGAAAACAGGATATTTTCTTTTCATCCACGTGGGGCATAACAATGCACAACTACCAAATCATCAACATTATCTTGGAGTCAGAATCCACCAATCACTGATAGTTGTACAACAAGTGGAAGCTGCAGTTATAAAAGAAAACCAAATCCTTTGGAATAGTCAAACGAAATTTTGACGAAGGAAAAGGTAGTTATACAACTGTATAAATCTCTGGTGTGCTTCCACTTGATTATTATATCCACGCATTATGGTTATGTAACTGGCACCAACATTCTGGCTTGTTGAGTTTGAACCCGTTGCGCCTTGTTCGTGTAACATCTTACCTTTTGAAGACATTGTTCCTGATCGACATCCTCCAAATTGTTTAGTATTTTAAAGGTTTCTATGAAGTCCGCCCTGTCATGCCTGGTTTGTGGTGTTAGCCCTGTGGCCCTCAACTGTTCCTGATACAACAGATGACTAAGCTCTGGTATTATTTTTGTCGTAAGACATAGCTCCATAGCTCTGGAAAGACATGGCTCCAGAGCAGCTGTCTTTCTGAAGATGAGGTCTCCATGCCTGGATGCAATAATTCATGTGGGGGTGCACCAGCTACAGTCTTAGACCTAGCTAGGCTTGCGATTAGACAACTGGTCAGGCTCCGGTTTCACAACTTGTCGGGTTCCGATTACATAACTCCAGGGGTGTGACTTGTTGGGCTTTGGGTTGTGCATGGTTGTGCTCTGGTTCGTACATGGTTGTGCTCCAGTTGTACTCACCTAGTTGTGTTTGCGGGGGTTGAGCTCTGGCTCTTTGGTCCCGCTTGTGCTCCAGTGATTGTGTACTAGTACGTGCTACAGGTTTGTTTGCAAGAGCTCTGTTTATATGTTTGCTAGAAATTCGGGTTTCTTTTTTTTTGTATATAGTTCAATTGTTTGATATGGTTCCATAGTTAGTTTCTAGGGCAAGTGAAGGGTTTTAGGTAGCGCTAAGAAGATTTTTCTTTGGTCGAGCTAGGAATGGAGTTTGGTTGTGCTTTGGGACTGTTTAGCTTGGTGGGCATGGATGAGATGTATACTTGCTAGGCTTACGGTTACACAACTGGTCGGGGTCTGGTTACACAACTGGTTGAGCTTCGGTTACACAACTGGTCGGGCTCCGGTTAAATAACTGATTGGGCTCCGGTTACACAACTGGTTGGGCTCCGGTTAAATAACTGGTTGGGCATCGGTTACATAACTGGTCGGGCTCCGGGGGTGTCACTTGGGCTTTGGGTTGTGCATGGTCGGGCTTCGGTTCGTGCATGGTTGTGATCCAGAGGTTGTTTGGTTTGGTTTGTTCATGCTAGGCTTGCGGTTAGACAACTGGTCGGGCTCCAGTTTCACAACTTGTCGGGTTCCGATTACATAACTCCAGGGGTGTAACTTGTTGGGCTTTGGGTTGTGCTCCGGTTCGTACATGGTTGTGCTCCAGTGGTTGTTTGTGTACTAGTGGCCCGAAATGTACCTCATGTACCTGAGGGTATATTTACATAACTGGTCGGGCTTTGGGGGTATCACTTGGGCTTCGCGTTGTGCAGTCAGGCTTCGGTTTGTGTATGTTTGTGCTTCGGATGTTCGATTCATTCATGCTAGGCTTGCGGTTACGCAAGTGGTCGGGGTCCGGTTACGCAAGTGGTCGGGGTTTGGTTACACAACTGGTGGGGCTCCGGTTACACAACTGGTCGGGCTCCGGTTACACAACTGGTCAGGCTCCAGTTACACAACTGGTTGTGCTCCGGTTACACAACTGGTCTCCGGGGGTGTCACTTGGGCTTCAGGTTGTACATTACCCTCTTTGTGTAATGAAATTTTAAAATAATGTTAGATATATATACACACAAACTAAAAGAATAAGGGTGGTAGGAGAAGGAAATATCAAAGTGTTCAGTGAGGATCCACAGTGTCTTCTCTGGGTACTCTTTATTTTCTTCTCCGAGGCTATGGATCCCTACACTTGCACCAGAGGTGGTACCCCTAAAACTCTATATATCAAAATATTACTTTGAAACCCGTATCAGTCACTAAACAAAAAAATTGGGCTACTTTTATTACGAATTCGCTACTTTTAGAGCGTCAGCTCGCTACTTTCCGCAATTTGGGTCTGGCAACCCTGACCCAGTGAGACAACTACGGTCTTGTCAATAGTACGGTAACAGCTGTCTGCGTGGCCCTTACTCCCACACTACCTGTGAGTCTCCCTATTACCACACCTCTCCCCATTCACACCACCCACCGTTGATATCACGCAGACACACTTGCGTGATATCTACGGCGGTTTAATGAGGTTTGTGCGAGTGTCTGCCAGTATGGCTCTGCTCTGGGGGTTTGGTCCACCTGCTTAGGGTTGGCTTATTTACGTCTGAAATTAGCTAATCAAAGTCTTAACATAATCTATTGTGATCTGATAATCCATTGGTAATGTTTCCTTTTAGAAGAGGTCACAAAATTAAATGTCATATACAGTATACTGTATATATATATATATATCTTTTGTGGGCAAGGTCCTATACAACAATCTAAAAGTCAAAGTGTACATTCTAACTTACAAAAAAAAAAAAGTCTTCAGCCCTGCGCATAGCATTGTCTACAATGTCACTTGAACTCTGAACCTTTCCTGATATTCTGAAAAAAAACTATTTTATTCCCAGTCCATAAAGGTGGCTCTCTCACTGAAGCCTACAATTTTTGACCAATATTAATCTTGCCCACAAACAGCTTGACTCCTATCTAGCTAAATACAGCATACAAAACTTTGCTCTTGCCCAGTATGGCTTTAGAGCCTGAAAATGCACCACCGCTGCTCTCGTTAATATGTTTGGCTTCGTACTTGATTTTACCTGAGGGCCACTAACACACTAGTTGCCTTGACGAGGACAGAAAACCAGTGGCTTGTCAGAGATAATTTGCCCTGGTGATCTTTTCCAGTTGGATTTTAAAACTTAACTGTTTTGACGTTTATGGCTTCGACGGGTAGGCGGTTCCATGCGTTAATAACCCTGTGAGTGAAAAAGCATCTCCTGTTCTCAGTCCTATACTGTGGCTTGTTGAGCTTGAAACCTAGGTTATTGTTCCTGTTACATCTGACCTTTTCAAGATCTTGTCCTGATCAACATCCTACAAATTGTTCAGTATTTTAAGTTTCAGTGATATCCACCTTGTCATGCCTGGTTTGCAGTGTTGTTAGCCCTGTGGTTCTCAACCGTTCCTGATATGAGAGTTGACTTAGCTCTGGAATGATTTTTATTGCCTGATGTTGCACTTTTTCCAGAGCAGCTATGTCCTTCTGAAGATGAGGTCTCCATGCTGGGATACAGTAATCCAAATGGCGGCGCACTGACAAATATCATGTCGGTCAATCATTTTCTAATTCTCTCAAACTCATAAATACTGTATTATTTTGTGTAGTTTTAAGAATTACCCATGAAGATTTTAAATGTTTTGTCTGAAATGCTCCGCATATTAGTGGCTTTAGGCACTATGCTTTTGTTAATTATGAATCCTCCACTGTTAAAAGAAAAATCCTGAAAATTTGGTGATAAATAACCAAAAAAGGGGGGCAGTTATTCAGAAATCCAGATCAGGTCCAAAAGTGTAAGATTGATTGCATTTTGACGATTTCAGTTTAAATGAGTACTGTACTAGTCGTTTAGCTTATTTTTGTATATGATTTTGTTTTCCAGTATGCTAAAGTTGTCATGTTAGTTTGAATAACTATAATATTAATTTTGTAGTTACAGTATCAGCACTTGGAATAGCTATGTCACTTTCTGTGACTAGATTTTTATTGACGAGTACTGTATTAACTTTCAGAATAGAATGACTGCTGAATAAAACGGCTTTGTGTGTGCACGCGCATGAGTGCACATGCTCTTGTCCCAGTAGCCATCATGGAGGAAGTTCTAGACCAGCTTCTTCGTGAAACATCGACTGGTAAACATGCACAGATACACCAGGCCTGTACTGAAGCTCGGGGTACGTGTGTGTGTGCACCAAGCACCAAGAAGAGACTAGAATGTTTGCTGATATAATTTCATGAAACTGGTTTATTAATGCCCTTGTAAAATGTTTAAAAAGCAAGGTCTACTCTCATCCTGATGTTCTCTACACAATTTGTTTTTATTCTGTAAAGTAAAATGGACCACATTGTTAATTGTAAGATTTATCTGAAGCCCTATACATAGCATCCTTATGAAAATTATAATATGTACAGCTGTATATAGTAATTAAAACTAATATTTACCAATAAAGTGTTAGTCTAAAAGTCTAAACTTTGTCATTAAATATCACTAAGAAACTACTGTATATCATTAGTTTTTCTACTTAATTTTGTAAACATATACAGTATACTATAGTGTATATGTTTACTTGCATCTCTTAATATTAAGTGTGTAATAAGTAAATACCCCTGTAGACATAAGTGATAATCTTTAGGTTTGCCAGAAATGCTGCACATGATTTGTGCCATTATAAGGAATATAAATACTGTACCTACTATGTAAACATTGTAATTGAACCCAATGTAATTTTTTTATAAGTATTATAATACTCTTCACTATTACTATTGTTCATGGCTGAATACCATTAGACACATGCCTGTTCAGTAATTGTTTTGCACAAACTATTGGCTGGGGATTTAGTCTTAAGTGCATATTTGAAAATGAGTAATTTTTTGTATTTATGTGTATAATATAGAAAGTAATAATTGTGCTAATTCTCATTTTCACAGACTTCTTGGAGAATCAGGCTGGGTTACTGCGGTCACCCCCTCATGAGTTACGAGCTTTATGTTTGCAAGCGCTACAATTGGCCTTAGAAACGCGCCAATCTAAATTGGTGTCTTTAGCAGTGTCTGGATTCTTTAAGGTAAAACTGTTCAAGTGCCTGATACATTTTTTTGAAGCTGAAACAAATTTTGTTTAGGAAATCTCTGCTCTTAAAGGCAGGCAACGGTACTTACAGTCTGAGTTACACTGTACATTTATTATTCATGAGCAATTTAGATTAAATGCTGTAAACATTGTACATATTCATTGTAATACTGTACTGTAATTTAAATGCAAGTTTAATAGATTTTTTTTCTAATACAGTACTGAAAATAAAAATAAATTTGTCATGGACATATTTCCATATCATAAATGCATTGCATTGGCTGTCTAGAGCCTATACCTACAATAAAAAAAAATACAGTACTGTATTAGTATTTCTGATTCAGACAGTAAAAGATTAGTGTGTCTTTCCATCCAATGCTAACTCTATTACTACTGTCAACAATACTAGTACCAGTATTGTCAAAGTACGTAATGGCCATTATTTGAAGCTTACACCAGTATATTTTTTAAATATACTCAGTATATTAACTATTTTTTAAGAATATTCTCATTGTTGTAAAAGGTTTGTGCAACAAAATTTATCCGAGTTATATTACAAAGCGAATGTGCTTTCAGTTGCTTCGAGATACACAGTTTCATAGTGGCTATGAAGAAGATGACGAGACAGTGTGGTTACCGTGTCAGCTACTGGGAGCTATACAAAGCCTTCCATTACATTTGGAAGACACACAAGTGGAGCTACTTAAGGTAAAGCTAATCATATTGGGCTTCCTTAATTAATGCTCATTGAATTTTACACAAGTTCATAGTTCATTAAATATATACAGGCTACTTTGTCTACAAAATATTTAACTGTGAATAATAGGATGTTTAAATGCTTAGTTTAAATCCTGCAGTGCACAAATGGTAAATGTGACACTTATGTGGTGCATAAAAAAATATTTTTTGCTTGATATTGTTAATTAGCATCCAGGAAGTACAAAAATCCAAGTATAAAGTTTCTCTTGTGGTTTAGCTCTAGTGGCCCAGAGCAGTTGTGTTTTTTTCAGTATCCAGCCTTGATGGATATATGTCCAGCCTTGCCTGATGATCTTGACCACCATTTGTACCATATTTTTCATATTAAGAGACATGAACTGAGCTTGCTATCTGGGGTAAGGGCTGTAATTTGGAGAATTTGCTAGGGGCTGAGAATCTGGCTTTAGCTGAAAATATGGTTTTGACCTTCTGATGACTTTGAGATCATAATATACATTACTAGAGTATTCAAGGTAACTTATTTTTCACTAAAATTTGTCACTGTATTTGAATGACTAAAACATTTCACATTTCACATATGAACTTTTGAGAAATGTAACTAACATTTACAAAGAGATGTCATTTGCCATTTTAAAATGAAAAATTGACTTGCAAATACAGTAATAAGAATTGTGTAACATTGTTTTACTTTTTAATAATTTAAAATATATTAAAATGTTGCAGGTTCTCCTGAACATGAGTTGTGTGCCAGGTATTACCGTTTCTGGGCAGGTGGTGACACAGGTGGTGGGGGTATGTGGTCTGGCTTATGGCAGAGGAGGGGCAGCTCTGCGGACTGCTGCACAGTCTGCTGCCTCTCAGGCTATTGCCCATCTCGTCAAGCAACTGAGTGAGTTAATACAGGGGCTTTTTACTTGCATAACCATTGGCAATTTCTTTCTATGATATTTGGCATACAATACAGAATATGTTTGATTATTGCAAGTTTAATATACAAGGTAGGTAACATATTCTTGAATGTGTACTTTAACACGAAATATGTACAGGTAATTCGTATCTGTAATTTTATGTTAATGTATCTGTAATTAAACTAGTAATACTGTACAATTAAATTGTTAGGTTTTGGTTGGCTGAGGGAATTTAAATAGTTTCCAAAAATAATTGAGTCAAATCCAAAATGATGGTAGTTTATATTAGTCAATGTGGTTGTTGAATGGGGCAGGTGAAGCCAAGCCAAGCCTCAGTAAAGGCTGCTTATGGGGTTTTTAAGTTCTTCAGTGTGGTTTTTAACCAGTGCTTCTATATTAGACATTTTAAATTTGCTTCAGTTATCTACTGTACTAGATGGCCCCATTTCATATATTAAAACAAAGTTGAATATTCACCTAATTGTACTTGTGGGGGGTTGAGCTTCAGCCCTTGATATATTGTGACTGTTAATACCTATCGATTATCATTTTGTTTCTAGAAGAGGAAAGTGAAGAGCAAGAGAAAATCGTAATTAATAAATCCAGAAATGAAAGCCACAACATCAATGATGAAAGAACCGACGACGACGACTCGGATTACATTGCTCCAGCTTATGATGAAATCGTTCCTGTTATAAATTTCATTGCTGATAAACTGATTGAGGCTAATAAGTAAGCCAAGTAATTGATGTTTTAAATATTTCTTTGTATACCATATTTAGCATTTATATTTGATTTGTCTTCACTGGATGTAGTTTAAAATTCTATATACATCTTTTTATCAGTGAAAACACCATCTTGACACTGCAATTTTTATTTTTTATATACTGTACAGTACTCGCCAATTTTTTTTTTCAATTACATAATTTTTAATATGTACAGTACTGTGTTTTTATTATTAATAAATGCCTGTATTTAAATTAACAAAATCTCTTCCAAAATTTGAAGTTTGCATAGGTAAGTTGTTTATGATAAATTGGCAATTGTACAGTTCTAGTGTGCATAGTTTTTTTTTTTATATATAATTTAAGTTTTTTTTTTAATGAGTCCTTTGCATGTGTACAATTTTTAAATGGTTTTGTCTTTCTTTCCACAATTTCTTCACTGAATAAATATTTATGAAGTACAGTATAATAAAAGTATTTTTCCAGATATGCGGATTTACATTGAATATCTTTAATATCTTTAATCCTCCTTTCCTAAATTTGTTGTATATTTTCTTGAGGGAAATATATCCCCGCCACTATCAAAGTAGGTATTGGGGCAATGATTATGATGCCAGTTTTTTTTTACTTTCTGGTGTTCTATGTTAAAATGGGTGCCTTCTCACCTGAGAGATCTCACTATGTTGTCATGTGTTTCTTAGTGTAAAGTATTGTGCGATATTGTACATTGGTGTTAAATATTGGAAGTTTGGAGCTTTTAGTGAACTGTAATATTTGAAGCCCATATTATGCAATCATATGTTGCTGTTTATGGAAATATTTCATACTAATTAATCATTGCAGTAGTACAGTATTTTATGCATATATATACCTAATGGCATATTCATTTTTTTTTTTTTTTTTTTTTTTAAGACATCAAGATGATAAGAAAGGCCCAGAAGTTCCTGCACTCTTCCTCTTGGAATGTACCAACACCCTCCTCTTCCAGCTCTCCCACCCAGAAAATTTAGCACATTTGCTTAAGCCTTCGGAATCTGTGTCGTCATCAGGTAAGATCTTGTCCGCCTTGTATTGGTTTGTAGTTACCGTGCATCATATAAAGACCACATTTTTCTGTATTTTTAGTATAGTGGTACTGTACATATCCCGGTAGTCATTACGTAAATGTAGTTACAGGATGAGAGCTATGCTCATTGTGTCCCAGCACCGTCAAATTACATTTTGAAACTGCTGATGGTTTTGGCCTCCACCACCACCTCACTTATTCCACCCTTACCACTGTTTGCAAAACTGAATTTTCTTATTTTCTTCAGCTGATTTGTTTAGTTACTTTAAATCTGACTTCTTGTTCTTGAAATTCCAGGTCTCGGAAATTCTTCCCCATTTTCTTGTTTTTCAGTTCTAGGCTCCATTTATTTTGTTGACAAATCCACACACTAGAAAATGAAGGGACGACGACATTTCAGTCCGTCCAGGACCATTCTCAAGTCGATTGTGATTGAGAATGGTCCAGGACGGACCACAACATCGTTGTCCCTTCACTTTCTAGTGTGTGGATTGGTAAACATACTTCAGCCACGTTATTGTAACACATCGCCTGCATAGGGTCCATTTAGTTGCATGTCTTTGCACCTTTTACAGTTTGTTGGTGTGCTTCTTAAGATATGTGCACCATACAACTGCTGCGTATTCCAGCTTTCGTTTCACTAAGGTTGTGAACAATTTCTTTAGAGCATAATTCCCAGTAAAATTAGAGCATGACCAGTCCACTCAGAGCAAGAGACTACAAACAAATGAACTTTACCGATAGTAAGATGTACACTAGAAATGTTTAGTTAAGAAAATTGAGAGGAACAAATTGATTAAGAAGTTTCAAGAACAGTTAATGAAAAATTAAATACTGGTTTTATGCATACAAAGTGAATGGATTATAATGAGTAATAGGTATGTGCAAAGTTTAGTTAAGCAGAAAAAACAGAGCAAATGAAAACATAAATTAAAAATATTTTCAGAGAACAATATGGACTTTTGGAAAGAAGTAAGGAAGTGTAGCAGAGAGAGACTGGTTGAGAAGAATGAGAATATTTAAGTATAGGAGAATAATATACTGTATAGTGAAGAAAAGTTAGAAGTATGCAGAGGGAATACTTGAGAATCTAATTGGTGAAATGATGAAAGCTGTGGTTTTCTGTGGGGAGCCCCGAAGGCTCAAGGGAGCCTAGCCTCCTGGGCTCTACCCAAAAAAATGGTGTTCCATTACATTCAATGCTGGAAGCTGAAATGTGGGAAAACTGCAGGAGTTGATGAGGTAAACAGTATGCAGAAATTATTAAGTGTGGTGGGGAGAAAAAGTAATAGTGGTGAAGAGAATGAGCCAGAAGGCATGGGGATAGTGGAACAGTGCCCAGAGAACTGGAAAAAGTCATGACTGCAACTACATATACAGTACAGTACTTAAATTTGGGATCCCCTCCACTCTTCTTTATGCAGTACAGTAAATCAGTTGCTTAATTCATTGTTTACAATGCTGTAATGTGTCTTTCCAGCATTGCCATCTCCTGCATATTGCTCCACACTTCTTGTTGGTGCACTTTGGCAACGGTTGTGTCCGGCTCTTGTGGCTCTGCTTGGTTCTCCTGTATCCCAGAGACTGGCTAGAGCTTCAGGCAGAGCCGAGGGTCAGATGGGACGAGGCTCGGGTTGTTTGGCACATCCTGGCCCACTATTCAACAATCAACAAGCCAGGGCTATTTACAAGTAAGTAATGTGTAGGTTAATATTGAGAATGTAATCATGTTTAAAGGAATTTTTTGCTTTAGCAATGAACCATAAAAGTCTAAATCCTATTAGTGTAATAATATTAATGAATATGAAGTCTGTGTACAGTATTTGTTCTGAATATCCTGCAGATTCATTCTAAACAATCTATTGTCTTCCATATATATTCTTGCTGCCTAGAATTGATGTGAACCTAGTAACCAGCAAAGCAGTTAAATAGCTGTTGGCATATACGGTACTTATTTTGCTAAAATAAGTATGGAAATCTCTGGCAAAAGATAAATGGATGACTACAAAATAATAATAATAATAATAATAATGTATAAAATGTTGTATATTAACAGTGTTGCCTGTGGGCTGGTAGTAACTATGGGCAGTGTTGGGGAGATGAGGCCCGTGTTGGAGTCTCTCTTCTACCGTATGTTGCTTTACCCTCCCCCTCAGTGTCGCCAAGATGCACTCAAGGCTATAACCGAGGTATGTCTGTACCTCTTGTTTGCACTATTTTTTTTTTTTTATTTTTAAATTTGTACAGTAATATTTTTGTGATTAATGCTTGTATTTAGTGTATTAAGCTACAACCTATTTATAAAATTGTTACATATTTCAGTTAATTAGCAGTCCAGTGAAACTTGTGCAACTGTCTGGTCCAATTCTGTATCCTGATCCCAGAAATCCTCACCAGAATGATTTAGCGCTCTTCAGGCTGTAAGTATTGTTTCATGCCCTTGTAATTCACTGGGTAATTCACCTTTGAACCTACAATCCTAGCAGTTTAACCTGTGACCGTGGAGGAAGGCGTCGGTATTTTTTGTAAACTGGTTGTTATCTTTACAAGAACCTTGATTGGGATTGCCATATAGCTATGCAATAGTGACAAAGATGTTGGCCTTATGGTACTAAATTATATTGTTTTGGTAGTTTGAAGTCACTGACTGACAAGCATAGAGAGTTATAGCCACACATTATGTCTAGTTCCAGCTGTCTTAATAACTTGTATGCCCTGTTTGAAGACTGCATAGCTGCAGAAATGATCTCTGCATACTGCAAAATATGGTATTGTATAAACATAAGTTCATACAGTACTGTATTTTTAATTTTGAACAGATTATCTTGAGAATGTATTGAGAGGGGCTTGAACTACAATCATATCATACCGACTTGCTTAAAAGAGGTATGAATTGCATTGTTACTTCATTTAAGTATTTTTATCATCTTCAAATGTGTTTTGTAACAATCTTTGTGAATTTGATAGAAAAAATGTGTAGATTTTTTTATATACAAAACTTTAATTGTATGACAATGACACAACATAATCCTTTTTTGTGTAAATGCAGGAAAGAATGATTTTTTTAATAAGACTGCTTCTAGGGTTTTAGCTGTGACATAACCTAAAAGTTGTAATTTTATCATGAGACATTGATGATAAATTATAATAATGCTGATAATGATGATAATGCTCCATTTACTTACCATTAAGTAGAGCATTATTTATGAATTGTATTTTATATCTTCAGTGTGATGGACAGTTTAGCCGAGTGTGGTAACTGCAGTGACGTGGAAGTTCAGCGAGTCTTGGTAGAATGTGTTTCCACTCTTCTTAGTTCCTTAGAAAAGCTGTCCCTTGGTTCTGCACTCTCCCAGCAGCATGTGGAAGTCATCAATGCCACATACGCAAGGCTTCAAGATGGAGACTATTCAGGTACATTTACAGATGTTAGGATATACAGTACAATAAAGCTCATGAACAAATCCACAAGGGCCGTGACGAGGATTCGAACCTACGTCCGAGATCATCCCAGACGCTGCCTTTATCGACTGAGCTACTACAGCTGAACAAATCCTTGGGGATTTGATCATTTGATGCATCACGCTATTGTGATTTCTATGTGTAATAAAGCTCATTTATATAAATGTTTATTATTTCAACATTTACTTCTCTGTACAGTACCTGTCTGCTTCATTTTATTTTCACCTTGTGTATGATTAGTGAGGCAATCTACAACTTTTACACACCTTTTATGCTCTTGATTCAAGCAAGTGTTGGCTGCTTCATGCATATGATAGCCAGATTCAGCAAATGTTTCAGTGTTCATTTGAAGTGTCTATACTGTAATATTGGAGGGGGCGTAGTAATATCTGAAGAAAGTGCATAGCCTCATGAACAATGTAGTGTTTATAAGAAATACCAAGATGTAGATGTAGTTGTTAAGACATCATGTGATGTTGACAGCTGATTAATATGTTTTCCAGGGCCTCTGACATATGAAAACAAGAGCAAGTTACCAAAATATGAAATTTCTGAAAGTGTAAAGCATGTGTCTGACTCGGCAGCTTCAGATACCCTCTCTCAGAAGATAGATGATTTAGATGAAGAAGAAGAAGTTGAAAAGGCAAAGACAGAGAGAGAAGAGAAAGAAGGAAAAGAAGATGAGGAGGACAGTGATAAAAGAGAATGTCAAGGGGAAGGTGAAGCAGGTTAGTAAAATGTTGAAGCTGTGTTTATCATGTTTCCTAGTGTTCCTAGGGGTCGTTTTTTCCCTTGGCAAATCCGATGCCAAGGAACATTTAAATTCACTTTACATCTTGTCTCTAAAATTGTTACAATATTTTGATGTCTTAATTTGTACTAATGATTGTACATAATTGAAAGATTCAGATCATCAGTCACAAGAATTTGGGAAGTCCAAAAGTGGAAGAAATAAAGACGGTAATGTTTCTGGAGACAAGGGAGCAGATTCTGATGCATCAGGAGATACGGAAGGGCCAGAAGACGAGAGTGACATAGGAGAGGAACAGGTAAGCCGTGTGGACTTTTATCATGAAATTATACTTTAAAGATTCATAAATGGCATTTCAGAAACATTAGGAACCAAAGAATTAGGGGAGCATCATAGCAGGCCTGTTGGCCCATACTAGGCAGGTCCCATTTAAATGCACCAGTTTGTCTCAATAATGCTGACTGGAAGCTCATTCTGCTCATCCACCTTATTTCTAAACCAATACGTCCCTCTATACTTCCCTTATTCAAAATTTCTTCAGCTAATATTCATTTTTGAGAGTTCATATCTGTTCTGACCACAGAATGAATCAGAATCATCTTTGTATTCTCATAACTTATTACCCCTGATCCATTTGAAGACCTTAATCATCTTCCCTTGTCCTGTATGTCTAGTGAGTGCTTATTGAAGCACTTCAAACGATCTTCATAGGAAAGATCCTTGATCCACGATTCTCTCTAGACTATATCCATTTTGTAGTATGGAGATCAAAACTGCACAGCATAGTCTAAATGTGGCCACATCTTTTCTATTTATTGCTGAAGGATGATGCTTGATATGCTGATTTTTCTTGTTATAAATCCCAACTCCATTTGCTTTATTTTATGCAATGATGCATTGTTGTCTCGACCTCGTATCACTGCTAACATGACTTTTAAGTTTCCCCTCATTATTTGATCTACTCATGACTATTATTAATATGGTATATAGCTTTGCTGTCTTGCTCTAGGTGAAGGAATTTTAATTTCTCAACATTTTATGAAATTTTCCATTTTTGTCAAGTAAAAAAAATAAATGTTTACCCAAGTACAGTAGTGCATTTTAATTCTGACTGTTTGCTGCCACTCTTACAAAGTAAATTGGGTTGGAAGATCTGAGCTTGTGTGAATTGATAAGGTGATAGGTGAACAGATGGTTCAAAATTATTCACAGGATTAAGAATTTTCTTGTGTGTTGACAGTTTGAACTTGAAGAGGCAGAGCATCAGCAGCAGTGTGAGGAGCAAGAGGCTCTCAGACTACACCGTTTAAATGAAACATTGCAGTCAACCTCTAATTTGCGTCACGTACGTCTCAAATAAGCTCGATGTGTAATTTCCTACATTGGGCCATAATTTAGAATTTTATATAAATATTTTAATAAATAATTATGCATTGAAAGAATAGCTTCTAAAGTTTTCCTAATATAATCATTTCATAGCACAGACTACCTGTACTGAAAATGTTAACTGTACAACAAATACAATTGTGGACCCATCCACAAATTGATTTCACCATAGATCTTTGTTACTAACAATCCTCTTCCTTTCAGGTCATTGATGATGAAGCTGAGAGGGAATGTGAAAATGCCCAACACTTCACCTGCACACTCTGTGCCCTTCTGCCCTCACTGCTGGCCATTCGTAGCACCATTGAGGTTGATCAAGCTATTCTAGAGTTCTCTGCAAAATATTGCGAAGGTATGGTTTCTTGACAGATTTTGCATTCGCTTTGGCTTGGTCAAATTGAAAACTATTTAATAAAATTAAATGCTAATACAGCTACTTGACTCTTCTTGCTTGTAAAATCATAGCTAATAAAAAAATTAGGTCTTATTGATGATGACTTCTCTCTGTTGTGTATTTAATATTATATTTACAAATGTTACGTTATTTAATTAATACCCTTGATGTTTAGTTTGGTTCAATTTTTGTCTTAAAAATCCATGCCCATTGCCTGGGAAAGAAAGATGTCCCTTCCAATGAGAAGGCATGGAGGAAGGCATACAGTTTTGAAGTGGAAAACCTCCAGTGATTGGAGCACTACTGCATTGCTCTAGGCAATGCATCAGCAACGGAACTGATTGTTGAGCTAGCAGAGGCTCAAACTCTGGGCTGCCTGGTGGCAGTAATTAGTACTAATGGGTTCTAGCTAGGTTTGAGTGCATTATTTTGTTTTATTGAATCATTTGAGGATTTGTTTGGCATTTTTGAGGCTTCAAGTCTTGTGAACCCAGTAATTGTTTGTAAAATTTCACTGACTTTCTGGATGCTTTCCCGGTGAAATGACATAATGTAATTTGCTCTGTGCGCCTCTGTGAGGAGGGGGGGGCCAGGTTGTGGTTCTGGTCTCCAGTACGCCAAACAGAATTCCTGTGACTGAGGTGATGATGAATTCAGCAATCTCAGTGAGACAGCTACAGGAAGTCACTAAGGGGCTCCCTAGAAAAAATTATTTTGGGGAATTTAAAGGTGGATGGTGCATCAGAACATATACTGTAGGAGTACGGATGATGTATTTTAGTGTCGTCAATAGGCAAAAGTGTTAAAATAAAGCTTGATTAAATGATCTATTATAGAATTTCATTGATGTAGTGTAGCCATTGCTAGATTTTTGTCAAGATATTTTCAAGATATTTAAGATGAGATGAGATGTAGAAGTTTATCAGTGAAGTAAGAACTGTTTAACACGATCAGACATTTAAGTTTTCCGTACGAGTATGCCATATTAAAGAGGAATTGTATGAATATTTTTTGTTATTACTATTCGCAATTTTTACACTTGGAATCAGAATTCATCAAACTATTGATAGGATGAGAAAATTTGTGTATACATATTCTGAAGTGGACTTAATGCTACAGGAGTGTTCAGTGCCACGAACCAAGAGGACAGTCATCAGGTGATTATTAATGCAGATGGAATATATTTGGCAACATACTCTGTTCTATCACTCAACCTACAGCTCATCCGTGGTGGACATTACTGTGACCCAAATTTACCGTTACCAATGAATCAGGTTAGTGAAGTACACTGTAAATTATACAACATTGTTTGTAAATTATATTCTGAGTTAAAGGCTCTCAATTGCTCCCCTTGTGCCCAACCAACTTGGGCTGGACAGTAGCGTGACGGTCTCGCTTCATGCAGCTTGGCCTTCAATCTCCGACTGTCCAAGTGGCTGGGTACCATTCTTTCCCCCCATCCCATCCCAAATCCTTATCCTTACCCCTTGCAAGTGCTACATGGTCGTAATGGCTTGGCACTTTCCATTGATAGTTTCCTCCCTTTCCCTTGTGCCAGCAGTTTATACAAATCCCCACACACACACACACACACACACACACTTCCTGCCAGACTCAAATACTGTAACTTGTTCACCCACCATGACAAGTAACGTTATGAATAGTCTTATCACATTGGGAAGAGAGGCAGCCATGAATCCAACACAAGCCACATCTGAGAGAGCTCCTTGCTATCCTACAAAAGAACAATACTTTAGACTTAGTATAACCTCTCTGAATGAAAATCGAAAGCCAATAATTTTTGCTCTACTGGGTGACAATTGAGGTAATATCCTGACCACCACCATGCTCACCTTTCATGTATTTTTGGCAGTCTATGCCTCCTGCTTCTGACTGCAGCGTTCACCAAGATAAATTTATATCGGTTTGTTTTGAGGCTCACTGGGGAATTCTCATGCTTGGTGGTCACAAAAGTAAACAAAACACAATACTGTACGACTTCACTGTGTTATGACCTGTGTGTGTATACTCAGCTGACAAGATCCAAGTATGTTATATTTATCCAATATATGGTAATTACCTAAGTAATTACCTAAGTGTAGTTACAGGATGAGAGCTACACTCGTGGTGTCCCGTCTCCCCAGCACTTGTGATGTGTAGGTTTCTGTGCCCTTACAGCATTGAAAAGAATTAGTAGCCAGATAGATAATTGGAAAGTACTCTAAGAGTCTAATGTATAAATTAATTAATTTTATTAAACAAAATTTTATTTACTTGAACTGGCCATTAGTGCCTAGTGGACTGAAGGTGTGTGGAGCCATATAGGCTGCTAACTAGAGGGAGCAACCAAGGAACCAGCTCAGAATTAAGAATTTCATTTATTGTTGCCCTATTTTAACTTTACAGTATTTAAATTTGCTAATAAATGCAGTCTGCTATAATACTGCGGTATATATATATACACGGTATATACTTGTTTAAGTATGGAGGTAATGAAATGGTGAGGGGCACAACATATTGCCATGCCTTTTATGTTAGAAACTTTTATCTTACTTCCTTTTGCACTTCTTCCATGCTTTGTATACCGATTTTCCTACTTACATCTCCTTTGTTACTTCTCATATTCATAGTCCTTATTTGTATCTGCTACTTTGTATTTAATTTTTTGGTCAACTTACCTGGTATTAATGCATTTTGGGTTATATATTTTACAATACTGTAAAACCTCACTTTAATGACATCTTGTATAAGCTCACATTAATGAACGTAAAATTATTAGACTAGCCTAGATAAGCAGAACACTTAGAGTATGGTAAAGAGGGCTTTCCTGGGTGCAGTAATCTCCTCCTTCCAGAGATACATATATCCTCTGTTGATTAACCTGGATCATTAACACATGGGGTCATTTCCTATGATAACACATGGGAAATTTCAAGTGTATATATTATCACTGGATGAAAGTCTACTTAAGAGTCACCCTGCTAACTTGTGTACACAGTTTGGACAGCTATGATTATTGTGAGGTCCAGGGAGTGTAGTGGTTAAGGTCCATAGTGCATAGTCCTTGCTGCTTTTAGAAGCAATGGGGACTAAGTTGTTGGACAGTCAGTGGGGGTAGAGTTCTCATTTGATCTTATTATAGAATTCTTATAAATATTTGTTTAGACAGATTTTCCTTCTCAGACATTCTGGGATGGATTGATTCATCTCTGTGGTCATCTGGCATCTTTTATCATCTTGCAGGAACTATGTTAAAGCTCCCTAGACACTGATGCAGATCTTAGGGGGGGACAAATAAATGTGGATAGTTCACAAAAGTTGTGTAATACACAACAAATAAGTCATCAGTTTAATGTCCCACTCTTGTGGCTGGCCACACTGAATTATTTTGTTTTAATGAGGCTTTACTGTATTGCATTACCAATATTTTTCTCTCTCCCTCACACTAATGCAAATTTACTGACGCTTTTGCATGACAGGTTTTGGTAAATTCACAAATCTTCAAATAACACACAACATTATTTAGCTTCATAACAACATTGCTTGTGTTACATCAAATTGGTATTAGAAAGAAACTAGTGAAAAGTCTTGTATTACTAACCAAACCATTTGTGCCATTATCATCATGCATGGTATCAGTCATACTAATTAATATACATCACAGGAGCAGTTTGTAGATCTGGTGCATGGAAGTGGTGTGTTGGTGTATCTCTCGTCTGCGTGGCTCGGCGAGGTTTATCGTCAGGTTACAAAAGATAGTTTTCTTCAGAGGGCTGGCTATACTCCTCACTCACCTCATAACTGTGCTCTCATCAATCTGTTAACAGGTAATAAAGCTTAATAGGTTAAAAGTATTTTTGTTGGAATAAAGCATTTTATTAACATTACTTTTGGTATCTTGTGTATGTCTTATTTTACCCCATGATACAACAGAATTTGTATCACAAGCTCAGTTACCCAGGGACCATGGCCTCTGCATATTTCTGAATTTAAGAATCTCGCTTTCATGCATATTGTTATATTGTATCTTCTTCACCTTGCCTTAGTTTATTTCATATCTTGCATACATGCACTTGTCCAGCTATGCTTTTATGCTTTTATTAAACTTTTTCTGCTTATGGCTTTACGAGTTCCTGCCTAACCTATCCATATTCAACATTACTATCGTTTACTACAGAACTCGGTCCTCTGTCAAACCTGTTGTAAGTGATGATTGACATGTCTTCTATTCATTATTCACAAAAATGTATATAATTTATTTTTTTCAGCTGTAATGAAAACTATACAGTCTGTTGAAATGCTTCCTGATTTTTTTCTGTATTTATTTATTAATAATTGTACTTCAAACTCTACTGTCATTTTCTTTTAGCACTTCTGTGTATGCTTATGCAGTACTTTAATACTCTCATTGGAGCCCATCAACTGATGTGTTATAGGGTTCCTTTCAGTTGCTTCAATTGTTAATTTCAAGTATACAGTTGATCCTTAGTTTGTTCATATGTATTTGGAATTTGCATTTTAGCTGATATGCCATCTTTTTGTTTTGTTTTGTGTGGGGGGGGGTTGATGCAGTATATAATCCATAAATTACATTGGATGCATCATATGATGCACCCATTGCAAGTTGTATTTGCTGATAGATCACATAAAATCACTGTGTAATTTTGAGTACAAGTGTTTGCATACAGTTTGGTGCTAGATGATTATAAATGTAATGTAGAGATGTCAGCATGTTGCTGACATCTCTCATATTACCTGCCCCCATGAAGGCAGTAACTCACTGACTCATTACCTCTACAACATGAGAGGGAGTTAATGTCTTTTAGCTCTCAAAGTGGGTAGAACATTTATTGCTAGTGCACACTTTTTTCATACAATTTTTCTGTACAACCCCCCTCCCCCTCCGCCATCCACTCCCTACCCCTGTCCCTACCCCCTCCCCTTCCCCACTAATCAGTGTCTTCCCTGAGCACGTAGCACTATGCCCACCTTGACCACTGCTAGCTTGCAAGACTTGAGTTACTTTGAGACTCTCTGAGGCAAGTTAACTTTGCATATAGTCTTATCTGATAGTATAAGGTGACAGGCAGAGTGAAGAGCATACTCTGGTCTACCACAGAGTAACCATCAATATAATACCAAATAGTATCTCAAACCACTCAGCACGCATGTGAAAGATGTGTAGGACCTCCAGGATAGTCGACCATCGGTCTGAAACTTCCTCAATCAACACCAGGTGGCAGCACCAGCTATTTTTTCATGGATGGAGGAGGTGGCTGTCCTCATTTTGTGCCTGGCTTGCATTTCTGTTAGTGAGGATTAAGTTAAGTTTTGACTGGTTTTTCTGAAACTGTGTCTGTACAAGTGATTCTATGCTTTAGTGTTCACTTAATGTCATGGTGTCAAGTCATTTGGCCTGTCTGAATGTTTTGATCTGCTTGTTCTTGGTTACTGGGTTACTTTCCCTAGCATTACAGTTATTGTGCAAGTACCTGTAACCAGCAGAGATATTTCCTTTGAGGTTGACACTACAGCTGATCCGACTCTTCTCGAGTTGTGCATCTACCTTAGTATACCTCATTTCTGAGCTGAGGCCTAGGTGCTGCAGTTTATTTTAACATAAACATACACTTGTTATTTGGGCACTCATTGAATATATTGCTGGTGACCGAGTGCAGAATTTGTCCATGCTTTTTCTCAAGAGGAGTAAATGTGACATTATTATATTTGTTTACAGTAGTCCTTGGCTACCTTTGCATTTCCCTGTTGACTGATTTTAGGGATGGTTTCTAGTTTCCTGGTTGGCAACCAGACATCCTTTCAAATATTAGTAGACAGGAAAGGTACTACAAGAGTAAATTTTGTGGCTTTCCATCAGAATAATGCTCATACAAAGTCTACTGGATGAAACACTAGTATTAGTTAATGGGTTTTGAATAGAGAAAAGCTCATCACAGTTGGGTTATTTTTTTACATTTCAAACATACGCAATTTTCATTTTGTACCTTTGCTTTTATGTGCTCAATTTTTTAGCTGTAACTAGTTTTATTTAATTTGATTTGTTTTCCATCAGATCTGGAACATGGCATGCGATGGTCCCTTAAGCATGACTTTGGTAATATATCCCAAGGTCTGCTGTTTTTAATGGTGGTGGGATGTGGCATGATACTGTCTTCGTGGCTTGATTTACTATATTTTTTTCTAAATGGGCTATTGGGTTAATGTCTACTGTGATATTATGGCTTGCCACACATTCTTAAGATAAAAAATTTCTATTGATTAAAATAATCAATATAAATATTGATTATTTGCAAAATGTCAATAGTTCGCCATCTTAATGTCTGGCTTCCTCTCGGCTTTATTAACTATGCTCGCACACACTGCATATCAAATCACCATCGTACCTTCTCCTATTTTCAAATTCAGTTCTGTATACTACCTTCATAACTCATCCATTCATTCAACATTTCCATGCTATTTTTATCCTCTATTCTAAATACCTTGAAACAAATGCATTACTTGGGATGCAATTGTTGGGAATCCTTGGGAAGAAGGAACAAGTGCATTCCTGTATGCAGTAAAATGGAAGTGTACTCTAATTGTTTTATTTTTGCAGCTACTTGACTTCGCTTTGAATTCTCTGCATATACATATAGTTCAGTACATGTTTATAAATTTTTGTATTTATATACAGTATTCAGTTTTATGAATTTTCTTAGATTTACAGTATTATACTCCTGTACTTTTCTTATATTTCATATATTAACTTATAATAATTATTGATACTGTAACAGGTCACTTGATTAATATCTCCCTTGTATTGTTCAGAAGAGTTTGGCAAGATTGCTTGGCACTACATTTAGAAAGAGACTTGCAAAACAGTGTGTTAATAATTACCCTGTTGTTATTCGACATCCTGATCATTCCCGTTGTATTTCCACAGACTTGGATGGGCTGGGTAGTACAGAACAGAAGAGTCAGATGTTGTCTGATCATCGTCGATTGGAGAAAGCTGCATCCAATGTAACAAGTTCCCCAGAGCTGCTAGCAGGTGCAAACACACCTTTCTCTATTTATAATACAATATGTACATACAAAACTCAGCCAAGTTGTGATAAATATGTTTGGGAGTGATTTAGTGTGTCATCATAGGTTTAATGATGGAATGATGTCAGAAAATGTTCTTAGTACTGTATGGTCTATAATTGCAAAGGTGTCTTGTGATTTGTTAATGGTTTTAGTCCAAATTGATCCACTATAAATATTTCATCTAATTTTAATTACTATGAACATATAAAATACACTATGCATTGTGTAAAACAAAAGTTGGTTATTATTTTGTTTATACAGTACAAGTAATATGATACTGTAGTTAAATTTTATTTAAATTGTATTTGTTAGTGTCAATCACAGTCTGAATAATTACAGCATGATGACTGGGAAGTTTTACAGTGTAAGTTACATACTTCACATTGATCAGAGTAAGAATTTTAAGAATTTGATTTATCAGTACAGTGGAGCTTTGATTCAACATGTCTTGTTTTGGCAAATCTTTTGTTGCAATGCACACTGGTAGGGGCTTGGTAGCTGAGTGGACAACGCTCGGGATTCATAATCCTAGGGACTGGGGATTGATCCAGGCAATGGCGGAAACAATTGGGCCAATCCCCGGCGATGGCAGAAACAATTGGGCAGAGTTTCTTTCACCCTAATGCCCCCCCTGCTCACCAAGCAATAAATAAGGACCTGGGAGTTAGACAGCTGTTATGGGCTGCTTCCTGTGTGTGTGTGTGGGAGAGGAGGGGGGGGGGAAAATTAATTGATTGACAGTTGAGAGGCGGGCTGAAAGAGCCAGAGCTCAACCTCCGCAATCACAACTAGGCTCGCAGTAGTTGTCCATCATAGGACGATTTGAATTAAATAATTTGCTCAGTGAAATTAGCATAGGGCATGGGAAGTATTAGGGTATCAATGGTAAATTGGTTCCAATCAAATTTTGTATAGGTTTTTTGTAGATTTTTGTATAAAAAGCTTAGATAGGTGCAACATTAGAAGAATCAGCTGAAAAATGTATTTTTTCTAATTTTAAAAAATTCTGTACAATGAATTGCATCCCACAAATGCAGCGAGAAGGCATCTTTGGTTGCAACTAATTCCTCACTTCAACAAATCATGGTTGGTCCCATTTAGTTCACCAAGCACCGTGCTGTAACTTTAATAAAGTACAGTACTGTAAAGATTAATAAAAACACAAATATCAATCTCAACAAAGAGAAAATCCATTGTTATATCTCAGAGAATTCAAGTTAGTTCTATTAAATGTCTCGCATCATTATTGTTAACATGATACTAAATTGGTATTATATCAAAATTAAGTACCTTTTTTTTTTTAGGAATGAAGCTGTGTCGTCGAATAGTCACGTGTGGCTGGGAGAGTTTGTTGGGGGTTCTGGGAGCGGTACTGAATGGAGCTGGAGGAAGTGGGGGGCTTGCTGGTCCTCTGCGTCTCCTGTTGGGTACAGAAGGGGCTAGAGAGGAGTCTCGGAAATCCCAAGAACTACTTGCTCGATGTCTAAATGCTCTACAGTCATCAGCTAGGCTGGCTAATGTTCTAGGTGAGTATATCTTTATATCATACATGACAAAATTTTTATTTTTTGGTTGTTGTTTGTGGCGTATTTTGACCATTCTACATGACAAAATAAAATTTTTTAGTTACCTTGACAATGTAGAAGCTTTTGGGAAGAATATTAGTGTATCAATTGCTAATAAATGATAAATATTCCATCCATGTTTCAAATGTCAGTACTAAACACATCAAATGATGATCATTATTTTAGGGCTGCAGAACCGCTGTGGTGTGGTATTTTCCTTGCTTGCATCTGCCTGTCTTCCCAATAATGATTGCAATGCAGTTAGCACACCAAAGCGCCATCATCTGAGATCGCCAGCGATATCGAAGAAGGTGCAGCGGCTTCACACGGCCCATTTGCTCTCCGTTCATGTCATCATGTCTTCAGGGCTAGAGCTTGGCTCTCATGCCCCAGAGTGCTGGACACACATATTCAAGTAAGGCTGATCACAATCAAGATGTTTTATGTAAACATTTGGCCATTTTCATGCATATACAGAATGCATGTACAGTATATATGCTTTGTGCAGCATATAAATGATTAAATTGTGGATACACTGTAGGTTAGTTCTCTTTACATTCAGAAGATAAAGATAAGTAAAATAACTAATATCTGATCAAGTGTATTCATGGAAAGTTTCTAGGAAATGCTTAGAAATGACTAGGAAATTGAACTCTGAAAACTTACTAATTATTATTCTCTATATGTTTTAAGAAGTGACTTTTATATACAGTACATAAAACTAGAAAGGGGTGAAATAGGAATAATTTGTCTGTAATGAATACAGATCTTTTGGGGTCTGTAATTTTTTCTTTTTTTTCAGATGCTGTATATACCTGGCTGAGCTGGAACGCACCTTCTTCAGTCATAATAGTGGCTATCAGTCCTTTCCCACTAGACTTGCTCCTCCTCCTCTAAACAGTGAGAAGTCGAAATCGGAATCACCTGATGACCTTTTCAAGTATGAACCATATTTGTGAGGCTTATTTAATGGATCCAGATTATTTATATGGATCCAGAACAGATTACACATGTGCTCAGTGTGGGTATTGTATTTGTTAACATGACACAATACAGTGGAATTCTGCTTGATTGGACTGATTCATTCCAGACTCCAGCCATAGCCAAAGAACTTCCATTACATGTGAACTTCACTACATTTTTATAATTTTGTTCTCAGAATTATTTTTATTAGTGAAATGATACCTAAATTACATGGAAAAATGTGTATTAATATACAAAACTTTTTGTTGATTTTTGTTACTGCAATCCAGTCCTGCATATGATGGTTTTATTTAAAATATATATGGAAAACTTGTTAGTGGTAAATTAGTACCAGTAGGTACAGAATTTGTGTATTATATAAAGCCAGTAATAACACGCATCATTTTGGGCACATAAAGGCTCGCCTCCAAGCTCTTTCTTCTACTGTATTATATTGTTATTTATTTGCTACTGTTAGGCTTGGCTTGGCTTTTTAATTTTGTATATATCTCTTATAATGATTTCCAATGGTTGCAGTGATGATCCATATCGCTTTGTGGTACCAGTGGCACCTTTGGCCCCAAGCACTAGTGTCGAGGAGCTCATTCGAGAGAGTCAGAGTGACACCAACAGCAGTGGGTTCCTCTCGCCTCAAGATACAGGGAAAGCCATATGTGCCCTTACGCAGCTGGTGGATAGGTGAGATAAACCCTTGTTAGCTCACTTGTCTTAGGTAATTACATGAGCTTCCTTTAACCTAAGTGTTTGCAGGGATTGAGCTCTAGGTCTTGAGCCTTTTCTTAGTTATCAGTTGTCTAGTGCACCAGCTCCTAACTCTTGTGATGGATTATCCAGCATTTTTAATAAAATAACTCTGTCAGTTGTTAGTGTAATCTAATTCTTGGGGAATTTTTCAGATTTGGTATGATTTGTCCTTATTGCAAGTAAAAAAAATATTCCTTAGGTTGCCCTTCCTAGCCTTTATACCAAATGTGTAAAGTACTACTGTATTCTTGATTCATGTGATGCATGCACGAAATTGAAAAAATAGATTACAGTATGTTGGGTTCGTATTAATTGTCTGGAATTTTTTTGGAAGGAAAAAATTCTTAAGGCTTAAATATTTAAGTGCACCTCAAGGAGGTTTTACTTTTTAAGTTGGTAAGGTGTATAGTTGCCTGTAGCAGGACTAAACTGAAATAGATAAAATGATACAGTGCAGCTATTTTAACATCTAACTTTGCCAGTCAGTTTAGTATTATGTTATATCTGCCAAGAGGGACATGCAGAGTTAACCAGCATGTATGCAATTGAGAAAGGAGTAGCACTTGATTAGAATTGCTGTATATCCCTTCGATATTCAAGCACGTGATCATAAAGTGACCAGGGTATATTGATGTTATTAACAAATGTTATTGTTTAAACTTGTATAAAGATGGAATACAGCATTTCAAATGTGCATCCTTACTGAATTGTAGAGCCATTAACATTTTAACATAAAAAAATGTCGTCTTAGGTTGTTTGATGATGCTTCTACAAAATTGAACATGGCATCTTTAGTGAGCTTCCTAGCAGAGCTATGTGCAGCTTCTCAAGCACAACTGTTCTCACGCATGTCTCCACACACTCCACACAAAGGACTTATCAAGTGGCCGAGGAAGGTACGTACTGTCTTGGGAGGTTTTGTGCACTACAGTACTTTTCCTGTTTCTTTATTTCAGATTATCAGATTTGGATTTGACTAAAGTCTGAGTCATTTGAGTCATTGCTAGTTTGACACTACTTCAAGTTTTTAAAGTCTTTATTTCTGGGTTGTTTTTTCTGAAACTGCAATCAAAATTAAAAAGTTTTTTTGTGTCGGATGGCCTGTTTTGTTTGGCATTTATTTCAAGTGCTTTGTTTTCCTTACTACGAGTGAAGAGAAGGACCAATTTTATTGAGACACTTGTCTTGGAAACTCCTCGGTGACCATATTTTGCTTAACATGTATGTGTGTGTGTCTTTCCATCATAAATTATGCTGTATAGGTTTCAGATTGTTGTTTTTTTTTTTTTTAAATAAAGATCTGTAAATATATTTATATCACATACTATGTGTAATTATTTTTGGTTTGTGTAAATAAGACAGAAATAAACACCATCGTACTCCAGCAAAATATCCACAGCAACATCCCACTGCTTCCCACTGCTGTAGCTTCATAGTACTAGGTGTACTATACTATGTTTCTCTTAAGTTAATGTATCATACAGTATAGTACAAACATGTTTGCTTGTACTGTGAGTAATTTTAGGTACGGTAACTATGAGTCTTTTTAAACTTACTAGTTATGAAATTAACTTCAGACCTTCCATAAATTTTGTCCTTACTGTGAAATGGATGAAATCAGTCAATATTCGAGTTGCCAAGTTTCTATCCACAGACAAACACATCTTCAGGAACAGACGTTGCACGAGGCAAGGGTGGCGACATTCTGTTGCTACACCGTTTAGCCGAGGTGATGCTGCGTGCTGTCAACTCTGGTCGACCTCTCCTACACATAATGAGGGCATGGGCTGTTGCTGGCCCTCACTTTATGGAGGTAAGATGTGTAGCAATTATATAATTCCTTTAATTTACTGTAACTTGTAAATTTATTCTTTACTCTGCTTAGCCTTGGCTTGGAAGTTCGTTATATTCATAGTGTTATCTATCTTATGCCTGTGTTAATACTAGTAGCAGATGAGGCATTCTTAGTAATTAAAAAGTTCTTTGGCTATATATGAAGAGCAGTTATACCTAGTGTTACGTGAGAAGGTACAGCAGCAATACCCAGCAGGTGGTAAGCTTCACAATTAAACGTTAAATATAAAAAGAAAATGCATTTGACCTTTATAGCGTGAAATTATGGGCAAGCATTAAAGTAAATGTGTGAAAAATATAGCTAATTTAATTTATAAAACAACAAATTAATTACTTCAGTACTCAATTTACAGCTTGGCTTTTATACTCATATGAAATTACAATAAAATAGAAACGTTAAAGTTACTCTGAATGAGTGAACAAATTATGTACAAACATGAATAAATATATGGCTACGTAAGAACTTGTTGTACCACAACACTAAGCAAGCATAGGTGTAGACATCATTACCACGACTTGAAGGGTAGGCAATGATGTCTCCATCCTGTGAGCAAAATTGTTTGGAGATATTGACTGTAATTGTTATTCATAATAATGAAATACAAATTTGTATCCTTTATATATTACAAAACTACAGTGCAGTATATTGCTCATTTCATTTCTGATTGTAAGGAAATATATTAGATTTATGTATGTAAAACTCATTTCAGGCTGCATGTCACAAAGATGGATCAGTGAGCAAGAAAGCAGTGAGCTCGATCCATGATATTGTCAATGCATTGCTGAGCAACCAGACAGAATTGCCACACTTCCACTTCAATGAAGCCCTCTTCAAGCCTTTTGAAAACCTGCTGTGTCTGGAGCTTTGTGACTTGGATATTCAGGATCAGGTAATTGTTGCCACCAAGCAACATGTCTGACGTTTCCATCTGTGCTTATATAGGTCTCTAGTAGCTGTAGATGGAGCATTTATTATAATTTATCTGCATTTCAGATTGTAAGTAGCATATGTGAATTTGTGGAAAGCTGCACTCCTGAAATACGATCAGGATGGCGTCCTCTGTTTGGTGCATTGAGGTGTGTGCGTCCTCCATCAATCCTTCCAGTATCATCAGGACCCACTAATACAGGTAGTAAGTTACTCTCAAGTAGAGAACTTGAGTCTTACCATAGAAATTTTAAGGCATCCTCTGAAATGACAGTATTTTCATATCTACATATTAAGATACTGTAACACATGCAGTGTTTCCAATAATTATTTACTGTTTCAATCTAAGCAAATGCTGCTTTTGTTTGATTAGATTAAAAGTCATACCCCCCCTCATAAAAATTAAGAAGTTGAATGTGGTGTAGCTTACAATAGACTGGAAAGGTAATGGAAATTATTAACCAGCTTTTATTCACTAATGGAAGGTTACAGACGTTATTTCTTATTTTGACATAAAGAAACGCTGCTATTTCTTCATTATTTGTCCTTGTTTTAATAAAAAGTCAGAATAAGCTTAGACAAAATACTTGTGGCAAAAATGATGCAAAGGATGTTTGCATCTAGGGAGCCGGTCGGCCGAGCGGACAGCACACTGTACTTGTGATCCTGTTGTCCCGGGTTCGATCCCGGGCGCCGGCGAGAAACAATGGGCAGAGTTTCTTTCACCCTATGCCCCTGTTACCTAGCAGTAAAACAGGTACCTGGGTGTTAGTCAGCTGTCACGGGCTGCTTCCTGGGGGTGGAGGACTGGTCGAGGACCGGGTCGCGAGGACACTAAAGCCCCGAAATCACGTCAAGATAACCTCAAGAAAGATCTATTACATTTTTGGTAACCAACTATACCTTCAACTTCCACCTAACAATTTACAAAAGATATTTCTTATTTTGACCATACACATGCCTGATATGATGTCAGATGTACTATATGCAATTTCGAGTACAGAAAGTTCCCCAATTATGAACGAGTTACTTTTGAGACTGTGTTTATAAAGCAATTGTTTGGAATGCAGATAAAGATTTTCCATATGTGCAATGCTATAAATGGGAGGTGCTTTTCCAGGCCACCGAAAATCCTCACAAAATCAATATTTTTGGGGTAAACACTTACAAATAAATAAATAATAACACTTAATAAACTATCTAATCTACGTTAAGGTAATTACTGATGTTTTCGTTGTTTTTTCCCCAGTTGGAAGCACTGCAACCACCAGAGAAAGTGTTGGCCATTTGCATGTTGTGAGAGATGTGTTTGAGGCCTTCCTAGCTACGGATAATGTTTTGGTGTTTGCTAATGCAGCTTTGGACTGTATACTGTGCTTGCTCAAGCACGTCAAAGGATCAGGTATGTTCGTTTCCAGCCCTCAATCCAGACTGCTCACATTCTCATAACTTGTCTAGCCGTTGTGTAATGGTCATATTTTTATCTTTACCAGCTTTTGTATCGATTTTATTCTCATTTCTTAAGTACAGTGAATATAAATTACTTGTTGCAGGTAGTTTCTTTAATTTACAGCACTTGACAGTTTGTGAAATTTTATATTTTACATATATTAAAAAATCTTATATTTACATCATATATTTACTTGCATTTGATTGGCAATGCATGCACACGACTGTGAAGCTGCAGCCCAGTTGGGTGGGTGTGAAGCAGGATTAGTATAATTTTGTAACGGCCTCACTGCAGATATAAATTGCCTTGTATACATGTTTGGAAAGCACTTCTGTTGTCAGCTCTTAGGTTTTTTTGTTAAAGTTTTAATCCCCTCTCCAAGATGTCCTTCTATTGAAGTCTGTTTTTAAGCTTTCATAACCATTTATATGAATCAGTGCTTGAAGATACTGTAATTGTACAATGTATCAAAAGTCTGGCCCCATAGGATTTAAGGGCATGAGCTAACTGCTCCAGAGCAGAACTCTTACCTTATATCTGTGTTATTGTCATGAACTGTCAATAGTACATTGCATTTTATAAATATAAAGCTTCGGAGATCCTAGCACCCCTGTAGCTGACTCAGCTGACAGCATGTAATGCCACTATATACACTTTAAGCATGACCATGGAAGGTTACCTGCAGCATAAGGTCATATTTTATATAACTTTTATTTTAATAGCAGACATTTGTGTTTATTCAGTAATTTGTGCTTTACAAGGTGAGGAGGAAAGCTGTGATGAAACAGTGGTTGGATGGGATGAACTTGTGAGTGGTGATCTGTGCCTTGATGCCCTTCGCTACTTGCACCGATGTGCTGCTATACTGGCCTCCATGTATGAGATGCCAGCTTGCCCAGTCTTCCATGCTGCTCATAGGTATGATACAGTCCCTGGCGGCACAGTGGTAACACGCTTGCCCTGCGAGCTATTTGGCTTCGGTTTGTACCCTGGCCAGGGAGGATTGACTAGGTGCCAATCCTCAACTGTATGCCTCTGTTCATCCAGCAGTAATTAGGTACCTGGTTGTTAAATAATTGGTGGGTCGTATTCCAGGGAAAACTAGTGGGTAAGGCTTACTATGAGTTATGGATTGGAAAAAACCCTCACCCTACTAACAAGTTCTGCACAAGTTTTTATAACTTGTCAGCAGTTGTCTGTTCCTGTACATACCTGTGTAAACAAACAAAAAATTATACTGCATAAACATATATATACTATATAATATAATAAAATACATTGTGATTCCACATTCGTAATGGATAGTTCATCATTTGTGTTCTTGTAGTTCAGGAAATGCTTCAAGTCTTTTGGGAAAGAATGTGAGTGAGAGGACACATGGTTACTTCACTAAAGCAGCTTAATATGTTCAGTGAACTTTAAGGTACAGTAGTGTTGTAGCACAGATGAATTTGAGTCGTTCACCAAGAGTCCTTCAAACTGAGGAAATACGAAGTTAGGTGGGTTTCACACAAATTTCATGCCATATTTTATAGGAATGGAGTTGATAATGAAGAAATACTTACTTTAGCTATACAGTATTTTGTATAATGGGTAATTTGATGTAGTGCAAATGTATTCAGAGCTGGATTTTTCCCACATAAGCTTCTTTGATCTGTGCAAATTTAATCTTCTTGAGGTTTTTTGGGAACATATTTATCAGCCAGATTAAGGGCCAGCTATACCTGGAGTGTGTTTAGGGAGTTCTTCCACTCCTGAGGCCAGGCTCAACTTATGATACCTATACTGTCATAGATTATAGAATATTCTGCAGAAGCTCCATAATTTTGAAGCTTCATTATTTTGAAACAATATATGGGCTATAAACATTAAAGTAAAATTTGTACATTATTTTGTATGGGTATAGACAATTTATTCCTTGTAAGAGCTTTCTGCATAAAATAAATTGGATGAATAATTTATATTGGAGGGAACTAGACAAATCTGATTGTGTTTTGCAGGATCACAATACATTCGCCACCCCAGTTAGTAGACCCACATCTGCCAAACATTGATGAGAATCTCCTATGGACATTAGTTACTGAAATCACCGACATGAATCCTAAAGAGGTAAGTTAGTTCATTAATTTTTCCTTTCAATAATTTGTTTTCCTGAATGCTTTCATTCTGTTGCTACAGTACCTTGGATAAAATCTCAAGAACAGGAGCAATAAGATGTCTCGCCTAACCTTTCCTGCAGGCATGATGGAAAGAGGGTACTTGCACAGAAAGGGCACATCTGCCCCATCCTGACATGATGAAATGTACCATAGGAGGGCACCAAGTAAGCATTGAATTCAAACTGGGATAGAAGGTAAAGAAATCCCCCTAACCTGAGGATAGGTCCTATCCGGCCTGGTGACCATCACCCAAAAGAGGGGTCAAAGGTTCATCCTAATAATTTATACCTTCCAAAACCAGAGAAAAATGGATCAGTCTTCAAACCTGAACTCGGAGTAGCATCCCAACCTGAAATGTCAGAAAATTATGTTGGGATGCTGCTCTGAGCTGCTCAGAGCAGCTGCTGAGATGCTGCCTGGTAGGTCAGAAAATGACCTACCCAAGGTTGAGAAAATAAGGACCTACTATGCAAGAAAGTTAGGGAATGTGCTTCAGCATAGTGTTTGAGAGCGATAATCAGAGGCAATGCATCTGACTGGAGGAGTGTTACTAGCGGAGTACCACAGGGCTCAGTTCGTGCACCAGTAATGTTCATCATCAACATAAATGATTTACCAAAAGGAATACAGAAATATATGAAAATATGCTGCACTTTCCAATTTCAGAATTGCTTTTAATAGATTGGGGAAACTGAAACTAAAGAAACTGTTCATGAGACCAAAATTGAAATATACAGCAGTTGTATGGTGCCCATATTTCAAGAAGCACATCAGTAAACTGGAAAAAGTACAAAGGCATGCTACAAAATTGGCTTCCAAACCTGAAAACCAAGAGTTATGAAGAGAGGCTAAAGGCATTGAATATGCCAAAGCTAGAAGATAAAAGAAAAAAAGAGGTGATATCACCACTTACAAAATAACACTGGGAACTGACCAAATTGACAGGAATTCCTGACACTGGCAGGCCTGAAGAACAAGAGGTCATAAATTCAAGCTAAGGAAACAGAGGTGCCAAAAAAATATTAGTCTTCTTTTTGCAAGCAAAGTGGTAGACAGTTGGAATAAGTTAAGGGAGAAAGTAGTGCTTGGAAGCTGGTGGCTGAGCGGACAGAACACTAGACGCGTTATCCTGTGGTCCCAGGTTCGATCCTGGGCGCTGGCGAGAAACAACGGGCAGAGTTTCTTTCACCCTGATGCCCCTGTTACCTAGCAGTAAATAGGTACCTTGGAGTTAGTCAGCTGTCACGGGCTGCTTCCTGTGGTTGGAGGTCTGGTCGAGGACCAGGCCGCGGGGACACTAAAGCCCCGAAATCATCTCAAGATAACTCAAGATAATCTCAAAGAAGATGAGACACCAGAAGTGTAGCTCTAATCCTGTAATTACATTTAGGTAATTACAATGTTTGCTTGCAGGGGTTTTGAGAAGGTTGTTTTTGCTCTTTAGTCTGACAATGAGCAGTCACTCTGTTGTGGATTGATACTCTCCACTATCTCCCCTTCCCTTCAAAACTATGCAGTGAGACCAGTTGCTAAGTTCCTTGTCACAGACATGATTAAGGTTGAAATGGCGTGTGTTCAGCTCAACAGATTCCCATTTCATTAGGTATGAATATGATGATAATAGGTAACTTGTAAAAACTTTGCATTTTTATAGTTTTCAATCTTGTAGTAATACTGTACACTGTATATTTGTAATAAGAAAAATATTTTTTATTCTTCAAGGTAGTAGGACTTGGGGAACTGGTGAAATGGAACTCTTGAGGCAACTATGCACAGCAATAGAGAAAGATGAATATTGGTCCTAAAAAAGAGGAAAAAATTCTAGAAAATATTAGACTAATATACTATGTATATATAGAATGAGTTTGAAAACAGAAAGAAATAATATACAAAAGAATTTACTGGATATCATGATGTTTATGGAACCAAAACTAGAGGCGAGAATTCTAGATGAGATTCTATTTCTAGGGGAATGGGGGGGGGGGGGGGAGCTATTCAGCTTGAGTACAAAATTGATGATTATGGAGCATTTAAATGTAAAGGCAGTAATATTCAATAACTCGATAGATGTAAAGTTGGTAGCATTAGAGATATGAAACCAGACCAAAAAATTAATTGCCTTAAATTCTTATAGGCCACAAGCAAGCAAAACGTAGACAAGACAAGAGAAGCTAGAAAACAAACGGTGATGCCCTAAAAAATAATAAATATTCATTTTGCTGTGTGGTAGACAGGGAATAATTAGAATGAGAGGGTAGTGTATGCCCCAACTATCAGAAGCTTCAAAACATTGTAGGAAAGACATGTTAGTGATGGCAATGAAACTGGCTTCTGTGCACAACTTTGTGAAAGTTGACACTTTCCAACACCAACACTACAGTAAGGATTTTTTAATATACTGCTTTACTGTTCTTTCTGCATTGCACTTAATAAGGATAGCTATTGAAAAAATATAGCCACAATTTAGGTATTAAGTGTGTATTAACTCATACAAGATTCTACATATTCACATATTCTGCTGTTGCAATTGAAAGTACATATTCCTATATATGACAGAGGTAAGCTGAATATTATTACGAATTTATAAGCAAGTGATGCATTGACAGGTTTCCTATGCACCACTGTGGCCTTCCCACAACTGTCCCAAGGGAATTTATTTGGCATCAATGGATCGCAGCAGCGGAATCTTGCAAGTATGGTACCTCTTGCTAGAAGGACTCGCGGGAGCAACAATGACTTGTCCAAGACGTTATCAGCCACAAGTACTGGATACGCTGTTCTCACTACTTCGTAGTTTACCAGATTGCCCAGGTATTTCTTTAAAACAAAGGCATCATTCATTTCCTAATTAATAAACAATGAGGTGAACATAAATCTTCATAGAAAGTATGAAGTGTCATTGTGAAAGATGAGAGGTGCTGTATTGGTGCTTTCATAAAAAATATCAGAGCATGAAAATGGAGGGCCAGTTAATTCCTGGATAAATTTGTACTTATTTTATAATCATTTATCTATGAAACAAATATTAAAGGGGTGTTTGTGTGATTAACTTTTAAATGTAGAAAACTGAAAATTGATGCTTTGCATATGCAGTATTGTAATTAAAAAATTAAACTCAAACTGTGGAAAGGTGTAGACTGTACATTATATGTTTGTTATTTACAGGAGATTTATCGAAGTGGCATTATTACTGATGTACCATCCCTATGTGCTCTCTCCTTAGGGTCCACATTCGGAATGTATTGCGTGAACCACCTATTGTTGCCTTTGATGCAAGGTTGGCTCAGAAGGTCAAACACCTACTCCTCCCCAACATCCTGGGACTTCACTGCATCATTCAAGCAATACACTGGTCTCACCTCAGACTTGGTGGTAGAATACATTAAAAAAATGTCTAATAAAGGTACAATTTTGAAGCCATTTATGAATATTGATTTTACCCTAAGTTTCCTCACTAAATGTATTCCAATACCGTATCATTTTATTTTAAATTGCCTTGTGGAAAATTGTCCACCGATAGCCTTGTCAAAGACAGGTCATAACGGAACGTATTACTTTTCTAGGTGTTTTAAGTGAGAACCAGAGTGCACGTTTGATGCTGCAGCAGTGTCTTCTGGTGCTGGTGGAGTGCATTACACACCCTACGGAGTCCACCTCCAGACTTGGTTGTGCTTGTATTAGGTTAGTTTCTGGATTCTCACTTTGGTCATTATCTAACGTGTTTAAATGGGGGGTGGGGGGGGGGGAAATGAGCTTTAAGTAAACTGGAAAAATGTTTAATCCATCAAGGAATGACCTCAGAAGGTTGACTTATAAAATGTTCACAATCCTTCAAAGACCTGTTTGATATCATAGTGGCTACTAATTTTGGCTCTTGCTGGCTGCCACCAATGACTTCCACTGGGTGGTAGTCAGCATGTGCTCTTCAGAGTAGCAATTGTTCTAATAAATTTTGTGAGATACAAAAATGTAGCCAGAGGAAATAGATGGTACATAGGTACTAAGTAACCACAGAAAAGTACAAGTAAATTTGAAAAGGTAGAAAAAGGGGGAAACTTCAAAAATATACAAAAAGCAGAGTAAAAGGATCACCAAATAATTAGATTATGTATCGGGGACAAATTGTGATTTTTGTGGAAAGACCACTGTTGGTTATTCTGGGCTGGATTTAATATTCTTCAGTGGCTCCCTCATCACATTATGACCTCTCAGGAATGCTTGAAAATTGCCCGTGGCACAGTGCTGTATGCAACACCTGCCCACAGGTCTAGAGGCATGTCCTAGAACACAATGAGAGCTTGCATAAAGGAACAGCCAAATGATACATCTTTTAAGTTCTTTTTCATAAATTCAAAGGCTTTTTTTTTTTTTTGTAGTTCTAGTATGGAGTTATAAAGAGTATACACTTTAAATTGCTGTTTGAAATAGTTACTGTAGATTACTAGATGTATTGGCAGAAATGAGTGAGGTGTGGTCAGGGACATTTAATGGAGTTATGCGAGGTATTAGTGAACATGGCCCACCCACCACAGGGGCCTCTAATCTGCACCCACTTGTGTGGCATGTGATTTGAAGGCAGAATCATATTCTGACTCATTTAAGTAATTCATTTAAGTAAAAATTAACGAGCTGATGACATATTTCATCACACGAACGTGAGCATGTGTTTTATAGGTGGGACATATTGAATCATCAGAATATAAAAGCATTAACATAGTCTTATTGATTTACTGTCATGTTAATAAATAATATAAGATTTTTTTTTAATATTGCATGATAATGCCTTTTTTTCTTTGTGGTGTAGCTTAAATATTGGGTTTTGGGTTGATCTCCCTTAGGGAGAACATTCCCAGCCTTTATACCATGGCACAACTCTTAAAATTTTATGTGCATATAATGCTGATTCAAGACTGTAATGAAGAAATATTTGTTACAAATCTATTTTGTGATAAATATTTATTGTTTTTATCTTTTCTATATTAGTCTCGCAGAAATCCAGTTGTAAAACACTGCCCCTAGGGTGGCTAAATTAGTGCTTAGCTCAGGAAGCTACTGAGGACCCCAACCAGAAAAGGGCATTTCATGACATTCAACACTTTATTTTATTGCAGACATGTTATCAACAGTTGCGGTGAAAATCTACCACCCGAGTATTGGAATGTGGTGGTGTGTGCTCTTCACCGTGGTTGCCAGGTATAAAATATCAAGTGATAAGCTTCATTACGTTAGAGGGTTCTATTAAATGTTTCCCATTATTTGCTTGGTGTAATGTACCATTAAAACAAATTTTATTTGTGATTTATATAATAATCCATAAACATTGGGGACATTGTCAATCTGTTTTTGATGTTCATATATTTTACCAAATTTGGATTATGTAGCACATAGATGTGAAGCTTTATTTTGTGTTTTATGGCATGTTGTAAATGTTAAATGTTAATATTGAACCTTGGGTATTTTTACCAACTCTCTTTCATTATGTTTTCATATTAAAAAATTCTTTCCTCTCTCTAAGTAATAAAGCACGAGTTAATTAACACGTTACTATTACAGTATCTTGGATTTCTTGTATCTCTGTTCCAGGTGGCTCTGTATCCTTTGTATCAAAGGATACAGGGCTCTGTATCCTTTGGCTCTGTTGGATTTCTTGTATCTCTTGCAGGTGGCTCTGTATCCTTTGTATCAGTTGATGAACCTCTTCCAGCCAGACTCACCAAACTTCTATGGTGATGTAGGTCAAGTCAAAGTAGCAGCCAGAAGAGATTGCACTGGCAAGGACAGTGACCGCCTGAGGCAACTCTCCCATCAGGTAAAATATTCAACTTTATTGGGTTTTGTTGTAACTACTGTATTCAGAAGTAAACATTTAAGGTGTTTTTACGGTGGTTTTTCTTTGTTTAATGAATACGCCATAGAAAGTTTAAAAAAAAAAGTTTAAATTTTGTAATTCATAAGCATTTTCAATACATTACTGAGCTTGTATTTTATCTTTTTCAGGTTTTCCTATTAGACACTCAGCGTAGTAACGTATCTGCCAATATAGATAACCCAGATGCTGAAGATCGATCATTTATCTTCCTGTTGTATCCAGAAGAGCAAGGACCTACTTACAAAATGGGTACCATCAACCCAGACACTATAGAAGGAGAACCTGTTCGTGTTCCCTTCCGAACATTAGTTGTGGGTCTTCTTGCTCATCAAATTCTTCTTCAGACCTTGGGGACACTTCTGGTTCGGGGATCTCCACATATTATACCAAGGTGTGGTATAATTTTGAGAATGATGTATACAAATAAAGTATGTTTTATTGCTAAGTTTGTGTACGAGTATTGTGGTGCACAACCCTACCACCCACCACTTTGTGGGGCATAAATTTTGCATCTCCTGAAGTAATGTAGTATTAGTAAAACATTCCCATGTAATTTGTTAGTTGTTTCAATTAAAATTGTATAGTATTATACATTTGCATAATCTCCTGTCTTGATCATTTTATGTAATACATCTATGCATTTATCAATATATTTTTGCACTATACTAACAGGTTGTTGAATATTCTCCTTTTTGAACTGTGAATTTACAATTAAATTTGCTCAAAACAAATCAATGAATTAATAGCTGCCTATTTTTCTTGCCAACAGTTTAGCTAATGTGTTGCTCCAGGGCTTAGACTTTTCTCAAGGAGACAGTGAAGAAGGAAGAGTTGCCGAGAGTGAAGGCCAAGTTCCAGGATTTCTTCGTTTTATGACTCCTGAGCATGTGCAGGTGTTGCTTAACGCACTGCAAGTTTCATATACAGCAGCTGTTGAATTTGATCGTCGTCCAGGATTAAAATTCTTAATTCAGAAGGTAGCTCAAGCAGAAAGAGCAGCAAATCTTTACAAACAGGCAGGAGCTAGTTGGACATTAAGAATGGTTACTCTATTTGACTTGACCTTAGCACAAGTGAAACATGGCTTAGGGCTTCCTGAAGTAAAGGAGGTTCTTGAGCAAGATATCAAGGCAAAAAATACCTTCAAAAGAGAATTAAATGAACTTGGGAAATCTGCCGATATGGACAATGATAATGAAGATGTACCGGATCCTACAAGTATAAAGTGCCCTCGGCCCAAACATCTCTTAAAGGAAGACACGATGCAGTACATACAGTTGCTACGGGATTCCTTCACCGAGCTCTGTGATGTGTATTTAGATCTTGTTATAGATCGTGATGGTCATTATTCTGCAGTGGATAGAATTGATGATCAACCTATTTTCTTTCTTACTGTGCAGCCAGATGAATTTCCTACAGCTCATCGTAAAAGTTTGGCTCAGTGGACAAGGAGTCTTGAAGAATTTAATGAGCATTTTACAAAAGGGAAGAAAATGGACTTGGATGTAGAAACTGAAGATAAAGATCCCATTTCTGGCACAATGACCATTGGTGCCAGTCCTAGTTGTGCAACAGTTCCTTCAGACTTGTCTATAAGAGAAGAAGTTCATGAAGAAAAGCCTTTTACCTTCTCGGACTTGGCACGAGACTACAGCTCTGACTCTGAAGACTCGGAGTTGCCAGAGTTTGCCGAGGGTGGAGACTCTGGCATTGCTAGTTTAGCAGGTAAGGCAAAAGGGTGAGATAAATGATTCTAGCATGAATTTTCTCTATTTTTCCTTACTTTTTTCACTTGAAAAGGAAGTTAAAAAATTAACTCTCCAAAAATTCATTTTCATAGTTTCATTTAGCCTGACACTAAGAGTTGGGTTTCATTAACTCTTGTTAACATTGTCATAGGCAGAGTTGGGATGATAACAATTTGGTGTTTACAATTTGGTAAACTGTCACTCCTCCAGTCAGATACATGGTCGCTAATTACTTCCCTCATCTGTCTGTCAGTTAGAAAATGGTTCATTAATGTTAGAAGTCTCCCTGTCACCTGTATAGAATGTTCCAGGTTCCAGAATAGCCTCTTGTGTGCAGTAGGTCAATAATATTCTCTTAGGATAGAGGGTGCCTCAGGTCCTTGCAATGGGGTTAGACTTGGGTGTAGTCAAGCGAACCTTGTCCCTTCGTTGGTTGTCCCGATTATTCCCAGTGCTGAAGAGGTACTCAACAGACCATTGGTTCATCTTCGATCTTTCATGATGGGGCATCTGCTCCAGAATTGGCTGGTTTTGGGTTGCCTAATGGCAGCAATTGATACTAATGGTTTCAAGCAAATTTAGTGAATTCAATTATTTAGTTTCATTTGAATAATTTGAGAGTTGTTTGGCAGAGCCAGGGCTTTGGTACTTGTGAACCCAGTAGTTATCTGTAAAGATTCATTGACTGTCTGGATGCTTTCCAATGAAATGGCAGAATGTCATTTGCTCTTTGTACCTCTGTGAAGTGGGCCAGATTCTGGCTCGGGTTCCAGTTAGGCCACAGAGAACTCCTGCGACTGATGTGACTTTGTAGCACGGCGCAATCTCAGTGCGATAACGACAGGGAGCCACCGGGGCTTTACCAGTAAGAACCGTTTCGTTACATTCAATGTTGGGTTTTCAATTCTAGCATATGTAATCCAATGTTCAACTGTCATTTCACATATAGTGCATCGCAGTTCATTTCACTGATGCCTTTGCCTTTGCATAATATATTCACTTTTACTTTCCTAATAAAATGTATCTATATACAGTACCTAGTTTGATACAGGATTATATAATGAAGGATAGTTACTGTTTGGGGAGGATTTTGTAGTTGTCACTCTACCTTGCATTCTGCAGATAATCTCTGAAAACTTAATATACCAGCATTATATTCACCATAACTCAGCAGTCAATGCCCCATGACTTCACCTCCATGACAGCCCACCAGTATAATGTAAGCTCATCCCATGTGGGTTAATATCATATATCGGCAATCAGTGAAGTGACATTCTGTATTTATATAACATGACAAAATTTTTGTGCTTCATATTCAAATACTCAGCCCCTCTTGCCATGAGATTGTCATAACATATCTTAATTCCATAGAGATAACTGTATTCCATAGTCTTTTTTACATTCATGTTTGTTCACTATCACATAGCCTTCGTAATCCCTGTATTTTTTACAGCAGGTATCCCTTCATAATCCCTGCTCGGCGATGTTACCACAAAAGGTTGTATGTACTGTATATATCTAATATTAACATTGTCTGTGTTACTCTCATGGTTTTTCTATTTTTGTAAATTTCTACAACATGACAATAACTAAAAGATGGTATATCAGGTTTGAATTGTTTGTGTCAAATTTCCAGGAGCTCAGCAGAGCATTTATCGTGTCGCCACTGAAAGAGACATAGCCACTTTAATGACTGATTATAGGCGAAGGAAAAACCAGCACTCCCTTCCGTCACTACACAGAGAAAAGAGAACAAATCCATTTTTGGAGAAACGTCCTAGTAGACCTGCCGAACCTGTGCCCCCAGAGATTGAAGAACAAAGAACTAACAGTCTCATGAAGGTATGTTCCTAATTGTTTCAGACTATCAAGCTTATTTTCCTCTAAATAAGGAAGAAAATAAGGACACTTCAGAATCCTCTCTCATTTCTGGAGGATCCACTAAGTGGCTCCTTGTAACTAGTTGCTCTGGCTGGCTCCATTCAGGGTCTTGTATTACAGTTGACTTTGTTCTTCATGTGCAATAGGGTATCCGAGGTACATTTCCCGGGAGGGACAGAAATGGTTTGGCACATTTCCTTTCATCTAATGCTTCTGTTCACCTAACATTAAATTGAGTAATTTTTGTATATTGTTAGAAAGGGAATTCAGTATTTTAGGTATCTCTTATTTGAAGTGTGTGTTTTTATTGATTTAGTCTGCTGAGAATATCAGATATATTTCTTGTGTGATAATATTCACGTGTTATGTTATATCCATCCAAGAATATTTTTAGGTTAGGGTTAGTATTGTGATATGGGTCTTGTATGTTTAAAGAACACCAACAATATCTGTGTAGTGTTTGTGTGTTGAGTACATTTAGAAAATTTAGCAGGGCTGTAGGTTATTTGCAAACAGAATTTGTTCTAATTGCTGATTTTGACTGGGGGGAACAATGAGTTTAAAGGGGTTTGCAGTGTTGAACCCCTCCATGCAGAAATACTATAAAATACATGACACAAATAAAATACATGTCTTATAATATTCTGAATGGCTGCTATTGATTCAATGTTTATATAATACTGGTATTATAAATCTATTAAATGATACCCTTTTCCAACAGGACAGTGAAGCACACCTCAAGGTTTGGACAGAAATGGTGGTGACGGTGTTTGATCTCATCAGTCAGCTAAGCGACTCTGAGTTAGGGCCGTTGCTACCTCTGTTGTTCCCAACAATACGTTCCTTAACTGCACATGCACATGACCCTCATCTTCGTCAAGTTGTGGCCGAGCTCCTTACAAGAGTTGCAACTCTTTATGGTTTCAGTCCTGCAGAGTAAAATAATGGTTCAAAAATGCAAATAAACACTATAATATTAATTCAGATGGTTTACCTGCAGCTTTTGACGTTTTTTAGGCTGCTGTGTTTATACTTGGGAATAGGTACTCACATTGGATTAATAAGATAAATACTATTTTCTTCCTGAATTTGTTTATGCTTAAAGGCTCCAAAACTGGGAGTGCATATTACAATAAGGATGTAGTAAGCATGTGTTGAATGTGTTATTTAAAGTGTGCATGAATCTCCATTATTAGGAAGTCGGTATGACATTAAATATCAGCTTGCATCTTGTCAATTTTTACTTTAATTTATTGTTACCCTAATATCCTCTTGAAATTATACACGGTAAACTTCAAAAGAAAAAAGAGCAAACGGTAGATGTGCCCTGCATAATGATCACCTTCATTAGGGATCCATTTTATTTTCATTCTCAAGGTCTAAAATTTACTGCTAAACAATAGGATCAGTTAAATGGAATATGAGGTTCTTGTCTTTACTTTAATTTGACAACGATTTTTTTTAGTGTGCACTTTTATTTATTTGGAGGGGATATTTAAGTGTTGGATATACTCCCATTTAATGTTCACTTGTTAAATCTTGCTTTAAAAAAAAGGCCTATATATACATAAATAAAACATACAGTACATATATACACAGTACATACAGTTGAATCTTTCGCTAAGTATACTAATTAATACAAAGAAATAACTTCATTTCCAGGATACACCCATAGGTCAGTTATATCCCTCTCGGCTGCAATTAAACTGGAAGCCTTTCGTGAAGTAAAATTTTGGAAGCAAGTCATTTATAGGTTAGTCAATGCATAATAATAATAAAAATTGTGCATATATAGTACTTTGCCAAAGATTATCTATATCATATCTGGGCATGTCTGAACCAAGGTGGTGAGAATAGCCAGTACACTACTGGCAATTAGTTGCTCCTCTCAATGTTCAGTTAATGTCTTAAAATGTTTCAAGTGTTGGTATATTTAATATAATCAGGTGAATTTTAGACTTTAACCATGCGTTAGAAAGATATACTGATTTTTATCCCCTTCATGCTGCTGCTTTTACCACTTCCACACGACATTGTCAACACTACCTTGACCAGACTACCCTGAGACAGTTACTTCTTGTTACATTTCATGAGTTGACCCTTCTCAAGGGTTTCCCACTTGTCACAGTGAGGAAGGGGGTGACCCTTCTCAAGGATCTCCCCTTGTCACAGTGAGGAAGGGGGTGACCCTTCTCAAGGATCTCCCCTTGTCACAGTGAGGAAGGGATGACCTTTCTCTAGGGTCTCCCCTCGTCTCAGTGAGGAAAGGGGGCTCGCATACGACTTGTGGAGCAGGTGGGGGTTGCCTCGGCCCTCCTCTCCTTCCCCTCTCAATGTGTGGGAAATATTCACCATAACTTCTAATCATAAAATATTAAGAAATAAATCTCTTGAGTTTTCTCTTTAGGTTTGATTAACAAATTAATGCACACTTGATAGCTATGTGGACTCAGGCAAGCTCAGTTGGTCCTGACATCATTACCACAAGAAGCAATTAAACAATTAATATTTCCAATCAAAGTATATAATTACAAGAAATTAACCAGTTCTTGGAGAACTAATTGAATTAAAATTTCAAATTCGTGCATAAAAAGAGCCCAGTGTTCCGAATAAGTAAATGATTATGAAAGATTCTCCTTTGCTCTGGAGGTAAGAGAAAACACACACACACACACAGATGCGGGGTCTCGCGGCTGAGTGGACAGCACTTGGGAGTGTAGTCCTGAGGGCCCGGGTTCGATTCTTGGCCAAGGCGGAAACAAATGGGTAGAGTATCTCGCTCTGATGCCCCTGTTCACCTAGCAGTATATAGGTACCTTGGAGTTGGACAGCTGCTACTGGCCACTTCCTAGGGATGTGTGTGCGTGTTGGAGAAATATATGTAATAGAGGAACAATAGATGGTTAGAAAGACGAGGTACAAGAGGTAATACAGTAGCTTGATTTTGCAGACACAAATAGTAAATACACACAAGCACGAGAGGTGCTCTCACAAGGGATGCCATTACGCAGCGATAGAGGACTAGTACTCTGTTCAGCTGCTGTAATACATGTGTATGGGTGAATAGTAAGGTAGTAGATGAGAGCGATAATAAGGCAAGAAACCCAAAATTCCTTGTGTAAGAGAATAAATCTTAATTTACTTATAAATATTAATGTGTGAGAATTTGGATGAGAAACTCATCCTGTGAGTGAACAAGACACAGCCCAATAGGAAGAAAACCCGCTGGGTTGTTCATCCTGTCACTTGTACCCAGACACAGCTGGGACTTGCTTAACTGTCTCAAATGAACAGCTTTTCAAACGTCTTTTGTCAACCCCTAAAAACTTACGTTATCTTGCGGGTGCAAAATGGTGGGAATCATTTAAGAACAGCATTTGTATTTGACAAATAGTATTTTCCTAACTCAAACAATGTGGGATTTATTATGCTACATATTTCTATGTGTAGCCTAATAATCGCCTACATTGGTAATGTGTGGGCGTTTGTGGATGAGGGCTGCCTGGGAAGGGTAAAATGTCTGTCTGGGATAGAATAATGAAGGCTGCCTAACAGAGGTGAATGAGGGTTTGCCTGGGAGAGGAGTATGAGGACTACCTGTGAGGGAAGACTGAAGGCTGCCTGGGAGGGGATAGTGAAGATGCCTGGAAGGGGTGAACAAGTCCTACCTGGGAGAGGGGAGAGAGGGAGGGCGTGATGAGTGTAAGAGTAGGATGACCTAACATGGGCGGCGGCGGTGGTTGGGGGGGGGGAGTAAACTAAACAGAAAGTTCTGTAAATATAGACATTGAGTCGGATGAACAAACATGCAGATATAGATGAATACGAATCATGAATAATGTATAGCTTGTGATATTTGTACAAGTGATTTAGAGCTACACGAGGGCGGCTAAAATATATTTTAAATAACGTAGATTCCGGTGGGAAATAGTTTGAAGCAATTATCGCTGATATCTATACATGCATGTAACATTTTGGGTCACAACCGGTCGTTAGGGATGGACTGGAACGAGATGCTAAAACTTTACTCTCGCCAAAATCGTCATATTTAAAGTTAATAAAATAATTTTTCAATAAAAAAGTAATAAGCTTACGGAATATTTACCTCAACTTTAAAATATTAAAGGAAAAGTAAAGGGAGATCCAGTTTAAACCACGTAGCTATAAACACCCATACACGCTACTAGCTAATAAAAAAAAAATATATATATATAATATTGTTTGCAAAAACAAATAACTAAGGAAATAATAGGAAGTTTGTTTCCTAGAGAGGCAAGGCTCCTTTTAATGTCATTGACTTCGTTGTGTCTAGAGTGCCAATTGCCAGATTTTCCACAGTGCAGGCCATGCAATCCATATTCGTTTGCCTCTGTCTCACTGCAAATACACCTATGAACAGTGTGGATAGGGGCAGCAAGGCGGAGAGGCACTGCAATACGGAGCTCCTGCTTATCAAGACGTGCCTGTCGCAGACATAGGGACTGCCAAAAAGGAAGTCCCCTGCATGCACAGCTGTGAGGCGTGCACGATCACTGGGGGTTGTTGCTGCCTCCAGCATAGCTGTGGCTTCTTTGTCTACAATGGGGCTGTCCCAGCTGGATTGTTTCTTGGCTTTCAACATGGTTGGTCTGAGTGCTGGGTCTGCCATGGTACCCTATTTTGTGTCGCATTTTGTGTAGTGAGAGTCCTGTATCCCTGCTAAGTCACAGGTTGTCAGGTAGAATTTATTTAACCAGGTCATCTGATGCTGAGGAGGAAAACAGGAAGGCTGGGACAGCAATTTGAGTGGCAGTGAGGACACCCAAGCCGCCGAACCTGACAGGAAGAGTGGCTTGTTTCCACTGGCATTCATTAAGGAAGAGGTTGACAAATTTTTCTAGCATGGTCTTCAGTAATAGGTCATACTCTTCAAGCTTTGGGCTGTCGTAGGATGGGGCTGCCCTCAGAAAGTAGGTTAGCCTCGGAAGGGATAGGCATTTAGTGAGAAGATAAAAATCATCGTCGGCATCGATGTCACCTATCCTGTTTTCCATCCACCTGAGGCCTGTGATTTTCTTATCAAGGATCTCCTCAATGGTGTTAGACCCGAGGGAGGCTCCAAGGAGAGCGTTATTCACAGCCCTAATGGCATGAGTTCTAGGCAAGACGGACTTTATTCTAGTTATTATTATTATTATTATTATTATTATTATTATTATTATTATTATTATTATTATATATATATATATATATATATATATATATATATATATATATATATATATATACAGAGAGAACTGGACAAAGGGGAACAAAATTAGTTTTTAGTTAAATAGTTTATGATTAGTTACTCTTGAAGATATAGTATATTAATAATGTGCTGTAAGAGGGTAAGCTAGGACAGGAGATGAGTTAAAAGTTTGTTTGTGAGGAAATATGTTATCTTGGAGAGAGGATACACTGACCTGGAATACAGGAGACCGGCGAGTACAGGCTGGTCTGATCTATGGTGACTCACTAGTGGAGCGTCCGGCTAGATCAGGGGGTAGCCGGGGCAGGGAAACTGCGTCTTGAACCTCTCAGGAAGATTTTTATTTTTTTTTAATCCGGGGAGGAGGGTATCTGTTACCCGGACAAGAGGGGGGGAAACTCCCCTTCGCTGTTCTGGGGACTCGTGTTGAGACCTTTCACACTTTCTTACAAGGACACACTCCTAGACCTTTCGTATGCCTTACAAATATTCGTTTACAACTAAAAAGTGATATTAGTTACCTTTGCTATTACGTTTGCATTATTTAATCAGTACTCAATGGTATTTGTATTGGATGGCTGCCCAGTGTTCACGAGTGCATAAAAAGGTGAGGTGGGGAGCGAAGACTAGTTTTTGGCGCGGGGTTGAGGGTGAGTGAGGGGCTACCCCGCCTCCCTGCACAGTTACATCACTACTCTCTTACCTCAACACACTGAAATAGGAAAATATACACAAGGTTAAGTAAATAACTGATATTCGTCCTTGATTTTTTTTTTGCCGTTTCATCTTACCTTTGTAATTACACAACCATACAAGGGTCTTATAGCACAGAAGGCTACGTCCTTGACTCTCATCTGAGGATTGCAGGATTGATCTCTATGGCAAGACAGAAGCGTTTGGGCAACGTTTCCTTTTACTTGATGCTTCTGTTCAACTAGCAGTAAATGGGTACTTAGGAGATAGATGTTGTGGGTTGCAACTTGGGGATGGTCAGTAGTTAGCCTAGT